CCAACGAGTGTGAGTCAGCTCGGTGTGTCGCAGCCGGACCGTGACGACTTGTTGCCACACTCCCCTCAAAATAAAAATAATGGTATTAAGTATTATTATGTTTATTACTAAATGCTAGCTCGTCTCGCGGAATTGCTCGCGTAGTATATGTACTTTTCTATAACTGTTTCAATTCAAAAATTCGTAACGTGATGTTAGATGCCTATAATAGACTTTTTTAATAATTGGGCTATCAAAGGCTAGAAAGATTTTTGAAATCCCATTAGTAGTTCCTGAAATTAGCGCGTTCAAACAAACAAACAAACAAACGAACAAACAAACAAACAAACAAACAAATAAACATAGTCTGCCTCTTTATAATATTAGTATAGAAGATTCGACACTCAATAAGTCATTAATTTTATAGATTTTTCAACATCTGTTCTAAATAATAATTTTGAAGGAATATTTAGCAGCTATATTTTTTGCAACAGCCAGCAACAATTTTAATTGTGATTGCTATTTCCGTCTTTAAAAAGAGTTCGTACAAGCAGTGGAATAAGGAAATAAATATGTTTTTATATAATATAAAGTTTTAATCTATACATATAATAAAGTTCCAACTAAGTCAAATCTGTACATTAAATATTTTTTGGGAAATCTAATTGAAATAGACATTATCGATATAGAGGTCGAATCTATAGTTTTTAGAATTTTTGTCCGTCTGTCTGTCTGTTATCGCATCACAGAAAAACCACTGAAGGGATTTTGATGAAATTTGGTATGGTGATAGCTGGTTATCCGGGTCAACACATAGGATACTTTTTGGCAAGGAAAAATATCTCATTTCTGAGAAAAAATACAAAACACAAAAACTGCATTGTAAGAGTATACTAATATGTAAAACCTAAGAATTAGGTTTTTGGTCATCTAAACGCGGGCGGAGCCGCGGGCAATGCTAGTATAATATAAAGTATTGTAAAACAGACAAAGTCCATTATGTAATGTAGAAAAAAGCCCTCTAAAAACGACAAATAAAATATCGCAATTGTCTCTGCCATTACAATAACTTATTAAATCTTTTCCAATCTTTAACAAGGAAATAGTCACGAAATAGGTAATACTTGAGTGTAACAAGCATTACGCTAGTGCGGAAACTAACGACTTTCTCTATCAAAGATATGAGACAGATTCAGTAAATGCTGTAGAAACTAGTATACTTTCGATAACCTATTAAGTAATTTATGGCGAGATGTTACGTTATCTTCCATATTCGCATATAATTTAGATACGTAATACGGGTGTTTAGACAAAATGTCCAATTGTTGCAATTTAGAAATTAAAAAAAATGTATTGAAACGATAATTTGAATCGTTTTGTCAGAGAATCAAATACATTATTCCCATATATTATTTTTAATTTCTATTCTTCAACGATGACATTTTGTTTAAACGTATAAATTACTATTGAATATTCAGCCCTTTCTAACGTCGCACTTCTGGGCACGGGCCTCCCTTCAATACGAGGTGGCCATAAGTTTAATCAGGCCATAAGTACGTATTCACAACACATTCAGGTTAGATCTTGCCTGGTTTTAAAGAAACACAAAATTTTCTTTTCTAACAAAAATAAAACATATTTTTCTTCTTCTCATAATGTATTAGGACCCGAGCGACCGAGACGAGGCGTTTTTCAGAAAAGATATGAAAAAGTCTTATGTAGATAAACTTATAAAGCAAAACCTTATTTTAAAACAAAATTTTATCCAAATCGTTACAGCTGTTTCCGAGATACACTAACGGCCTCTATATTAAATCAAAATATTTTATTCAGCATTAAATTATTACAATTTTTTACTGAACGTCATAAGTCTACTACCAGTTCGGAAAGAAGAAGACCTGAGAAGAACTGGCGAAAGAAACTCAGCGGGACTAATATATCGATAATAATGTCTATTTCGATAAGATTTCCCAGAAAATATTTAATGTACAGATTAGGCTTAGTTACAATTTTATTATATGTATAGACAAGAGTAATAAGATTACATTAACATACAGAATGTACATATTATAAGTATACCCAGAAATCAGAATATTTACATATGCATTATACATTAACTAGCATTTTTGAATTTGTATAATATTGGTAAAGCCACTCTATGAAAACCAACACAATAATTAAAAGTTATAACTCCGATCCTAAAGTAATTACACATGATCAAAAGTTCATAAATATTTCATATTACTAGATAACTTATATGCTATTCTTACAGGCAAAATCGATAATACCATTTCATGGACTGATCGACCTATGCGCGACATTAAATAGGACATCATTTGAAAGAAAACGTAATAAATTATTCTAAGTTTAAGTTAAATAAAATAGTTCTTAATTTTTATAAAGTTACTATTCAGATATACTGTGTAACAGGTATAAGATACCTGTTAAAATAATTTATGTACTATTGACTCACCGTTGTTTCGATCGGGTTCGTCCCTAGGTAAGTTTTAATTTTTTTGAGCGGAACCCTAATTCTTTTTCTAAAATAAAAGTAGCCTATGCTACTCCCTATAACAGCAAACTAGCAAAAAACAAACTATCCCACGGGAGTCGTACATTTTTCCGGGGTAAAAAGTAGCCAATGTGTTATTCTGATGTATAAGCTATATTATTGTAAAGTTTCATTAAAATCCATTCAGTAGTTTTTGCGTGACAGAGTAGCAAACATCCATACATTTCTACATCTAGTCGACGTCTATACATCCTCGCAATCTTTTGCATTTATAATATTGGTAGGATGTCCGCCAAACTTTATTGTAATTATTGGTAAAAGTCTCCTGCAGCTCTTTATATGAGAACCTTTCTTTTCTGGACCTCTGCAAATGTTTAAAATGAGTATAGTAGGTAGGGTCCAAGGTCTTAAAGAAATCTAACAATTTTTATATTTAACGTTTCTGTTGCAAAATATTTTTTCATAGAATAAAATTAATGAGATCCCATCTAAATAGAAATCTATGCTTATTTAAAACCTTTTCTGCGATAAATACAAACATTTTATGAAAAATTATAACCTGAAACAGTCTGGTCTTTAAAATATTCAGGACCAAGAACGTTTCATCTAACGCTCGGTTTGATTGTTGAAAACTATTAAATACCAGTGAAGTGAACATAACTAAAATTTAACTAATTTATTATAATGTACACTCGCTAGAGTGTGCTTATAAATAAATATTATTAATGGATGCATTTCATTAGCCATATCTCACGATAGCTATTATCGTACCATTGCAATACTTTATACGAGTAGGTACATCTTGATAACGCGTGTAAAATTTTTAAACCTTACAAAAGTTCTTTGAAATTAAAAGGTACCTTTTTTAATTATTTTAAATAATACTATCTTTATTCGGATTTTATTTTGTTTTTTGGTTCCCGACGTTTCGAATGCTTTACAGCGATCATGGTCTCTCCTGTGTTTAGAGAGAGTTAGTTTTATTTAAAATGTCAAATAATCGCGTAAATCTAATAAAAGTATTATCACTAAGTCAAATATTTTCAATTAAGACTATTTTATATAAGAACACCACATCTTCTCTATATATATAAAAGAAAGTCGTGTTAGTTACACTATTTATAATTCAAGAACGGCTGAACCGATTTTGCTGAAACTTGGTGGGGAGGTAGCTTAGAACCAGGAGACGGACATAGGATATTTTTAGCCCGTTCGACTGCGTTCCCGTATACCAGACTCAAGAACGGCTGGACCAATTTTTATGATATTTGAATTTTTGGATTTCTCTCATTCCGGAATAGGTTGATACCTAAGTATTAAAACGTCAGAAAAATTAACGAAAAAAAAATATTTATATGGCTAATAACATTGGCTATATTTATATTTATATCTATTTAAAACGTACCTAGCGACGAACCCGAGCGAAGCGAGGGTGAGCCGCTAGTGTTTTGATAAAAATAATAAGTTAAAAACAAACTAACCCCGCTCACGAGATACGGCTCGGCATTCGAGTCAAGATCTGTCCTTGACTCGGTTTTCCCGATGCTTTTGTTTTCATTGTTAGCAAATAAACTAATAGCCACCGCTTCCCTCAAGTAGAATGTCTTGCCTTCTAAGAAGGTCGAGTGAGAAACTCGATTCGAATAGTTTGTGCACCTTCAGCTATTACTTCGTACATTGGAGACTTTTCCTATTATGTTTTGTTATAAAGACTCTATATAAATAGTTCGTAAAATGAATAACGTAAAAAACAGCCAAGTTAAATGTTACACTATAATAATAATAATATTAATTATTTATAAATTATTATTAATTATATAGAAATAGTGTTTATATGTATAATTGAAAATTAATTATTTGATGCTTTTAATTTTAATTCTGATATAAAATACTTATTTAAGTTTTCTTAAGTTGTCACCTTGAGTGGAAAAGGGTGGGAAAAACATTGTTTTGTTTTATTATTTAATGAAATTATTAGTCATTCTTTCGTAATGTTGTTTAAGGCGTTACTGACACTATACAAAATAATAATAATAAGTCAAAACTGTGTACCATTACACAGGTTTTTATATCAGAATTATGTAGATCTGGTAGGCCAAGTAGAAACCGATGCCTAATGCGTCGCAGTTTTTACTTGGCGTACCAGACCTACGAATTTCTGAAACACTCCCGTAACAAAAATCGAGTCCAACATCAGTTATGTGTTTTATGTGTTGAATTTTATTTATAAGATCTTATTCTACTTAAATGTTAATGAAATACTATATCATATATGGTATGATTTTTTTACATAAACGATTAAGTTTTTCCTTAAGTTAATGTATGTAAATGATAACAGTATAACATAGGAATAGCAAAAAGTTATGAATACATACCATTTTAATTTAATATGATTGCCAGTTCAGTCAGTTAGAAACAGTTTTGAAGGTGGTTCAAAATACGTTTTTTTGAATATAGAAACATTAATAAGAGACTAATATATTAAATTTTGAATTTCTATGGATTTCAGAAACCTGTCGCGATCCCCATCACCATCGCTGCGGCACACGGACAGTGCATTGGATATCATAGATGACAAAGTAAGTAATGCAATATTTAAAAAAAACAGCCTACTGGTTTATGAAGGATATAAGCTATCTCAATTCTGAATTTCATCCAAATCTGCTTAGCTATTGCAGCGCGAAGAAGTAACACGCGCACTTACAAACTTTTGCATTTATAATAATTAATATTTAACATAACATAAATATACTGCAGTATGATACGACAATTCGACTCGCACATGGCAGTTATTCATTGATTAGAGAAAAAGTTTCCCTCTACTCAGCCCATTTTAACGGGGCCTTTCTCACTGCTGGGCACGGGCCTACCTTCAATACGAGGGAGATTCAGGCCATACTCCACCACGTTGGTCAAGTGCGATGCGGTAAACTTCACATGTCTTTCGAAAACTTGCTAGATTCTCTCAGACATTTAGCTTTCCTCGCGATGTTTTCTTTTACCATAAGAAAAGTGGTAATCATATTGTAAATGATTCGCAAATGAAAATATCAGAGGTGCAAGACTCGGGATTTGACCCGATTTACTCAATTTCCCAAGTGAGTGAGTACTGGGTGAGTACCAGTGCCTATAATTAGGCAAAATGTACAAATAAATTGGATATTCTTTAAATATTTTTTCGTATTAGTCATGAAATATGGCTATTTCTGTTATCATAATAAATAATTATATTTTTTATTTTAGAGAAGTGAGAAAAGCGATTCGTCGTTACACGTCCCGTCGCTTGGAAATGACATACCAATAGGAATAGATGTCGCCAATTTAGTTAGAGATAAGGTAATTGTTCTCATTACATATTAATGAAAATGTTTTCAGTCATTATATAGTAATATTATATTATAAATTAACTGCCTCGGTGGTGTAGTGGCTAGCATGTACGGCTGCACATCCGGAGGTCCTGGGTTCGAGTCCCGGGTCGGGCCAAGTTTAGTTATTGAGTCTTCCTGTATAGTAAGTCTCAGTAACAGCCCGGAGTTGGGAAGTTGGCGGTGTTTCACCCCCGTGCCTCGGAGAGCACGTAAAGCCGTCGGTCCTGCGCCGACACTCTCACCGCGAGTGTCGAGTGGTCGTCCCACCGGAGTATGAGAGCTATAGGAATAGAGAGTGCACTTGTGTCTGCGCGTACACTCGAGCACTGTAATATCTCCTGCGCAGTTGGCTAATCTCATTGAGATTGGCCGCCGTGGCCGGAATCGGCTAGGAGAACATCATATTATAAATTAAAGTCCCCCGCTGCACCGAGTTTGTTTGTTCGGGATAATCTCAGAAACTATTGTACGGATTTTCATACGGTTTGTACCAATAGAAAGAAAGATTTTATAAAGGTTAAAAGCTATAATTTATGAATATTTTGGCGAAAATAAACTACCTGTATATATTTTTGTATTAAGTCTGAAAAAAAATCCCTTCAAACTAACGTCTAAACATGCAAAGGCAGTCTTATTGCTATGAGCAATCTCTTAAAGACAACCTTTGGTGTAAGGATTAGTGGAACCGCAAATAGGACGGATTTATAAAAAAATCATTTCGAAACGTCGGGAACCAAAAATTAAAATAAATCCGCAAAAATATTTGTAAAACTTAGTTTTGTTTTAAAATATGACGTTACAATTAATACTTGCTTTGAAGTATTTCCGTTAAAATAACGGAATACTTTGTAGATGTCAATGTAAAGGAAGAATGAAAAGGACTAAAGTCTAGTAGAGTCTCACGTAGGATAAGTTGATAATTATTGTATTGAAGTATTGTAAACAAATATCATTTTAAAAGAGCAACTGTTGAGTTTCCCCCACGGTTCTTCTTACTGAACAGCCTATGTTATCGTTTCGTCCCTACTTAAGTTTTGATGTTTAGTATAGATTTCTCAGAGATAAGGTCTTGCAAAAAAAAGTATCCTATACGTTGACCCGGATAACCAGCTATTATCATACCAAATTTCATCAAAATCCCTCTAGTGGTTTTTCCGTGATGCAGTCACAGACAGACAGACAAAAATTCTAAAAACTATAGATTCGGCCTCTGTATCGATAGTAATGTCTATTACAATAAGATTTCCCAAAAAAAATTTAATGTACAGATTCGGCTTAGTTACAATTTTATTATATGTATGGGTTTTAATAAGTGCTTATAAGAGACTATTTGAATAAAGTACATTTTAATTGATTGATTGGTGGTCGCTTATTGTATGGATATTCATACTGGGGTCTTTGTTGCATATTTTTATATTTCATCACAGCGTATAGACGGCGCGGGCACAGTGCGTGCGAAGAAGAAGAGTTGGTACAACTCTCTGTATCCAACCTACAAGAGCAAATGTGAGGATTTCAAACGGCTGTTCAAAGACCTGCCAGATGAAGAACGCCTCATAGTCGGTAGGTGCGAGATCGTTTGTTGGATTTTTTTTTATGTATGTAAATTAATAATTTATAATTGATTTTTGACGGCTGTCAGTTTAGACTTGTAATTGCCGTTTTAAAAAATTCGATTTTTAGATTTCACGTTTATGTTTATAAAATCAACGCAATGATTAAATTAATATAATTATATTATAAATATACTAGCGACTTACTCTAGCTTTTCTCGGTCAAACAGTAGTCTATTTGTTACTTTGGTAGGTCATAGTCTTACCTGTATACAAAATTTAATCCAAATCTGTCCAACCATTGCAGCGTGAAGGAGTGCCGAACAAATACACATGCACAAACTAGTGATGTAATTATTTTTATTATGTAAAACGGGATATTTACCATACCTTTCGTTAAGGTTATATATTTATGCACAGGTCCTACAACACAACATCCTCATGCAGTGTATACTACATTTCATACAAATCCAAATTTAGCTTGAGAAGTAACGAATATACACACATATCTACAATATTTTTTAATGTATATATATATATAAACCTAGCTACCTAGTACCTACTCAAATTCAGCATGTTTTTCATATTGGTAACACAGACTACTCATGTGCCCTGCAACGCGACATCCTGGCGCACGGGCGCCTGTACGCGTCGCAGAGCTACCTGTGCTTCTACGCGAGCATATTCGGCTGGGAGACCTGCCTCACGCTGCGGTGGAAGGATGTCACTGCTATCACAAAGGAGAAGACCGCTTTGGTGAGTCCTCAACTTATATTAGATTGCAATCAGATCTATTCCACGGGAATGGTACATTTTTTCGAGATAAAAATTGCCCTATATAGATTATAATCTATCTCTATGCCAAATTTCGTCCAGAGTTTCTGTCGGGTTTTAGTGGGTATTACTGGTTTTTCTAGCCGGTGATAACCACTGGTATGTATAAAGGTAAGGTGGTATGCTTAAATGCATTTTCAGACGTGAAAAATAACTAATCATTTTATTTTAAACAAAAGAGAAATATGCATGATAATATTTTCCTGAAAGCCAATCTCCTAGATAATTTTGCCACCTAGTACTAATAAGTGTCTTCCCTGAGACATCAATACATGACAAAAGACACAAAAGGATCATACAACTACCATATTATATACAATTACCGTATTTTAACCAAACAGTTACCAAGAATAGTGATATTTGTAATTTCCCAATCGCCAGGTCATCCCAAACGCCATCCTCGTATGCACGGATACGGATAAGAACTTCTTTACATCATTCTCCGGAAGGGACAAATCTTACCTGATGCTGTTCAGGATATGGCAGAATGCGCTCATGGACCAGCCCATGTCCAGCCAGGAGATATGGCAGTGGGTAAGTCCATGGAGTTCCATGGGGTTCTGGAATTTGTAGTGATGGTTGTTCAGTGCTTAGGCTTAGCTTATTGTATTACGTTGACCATACCATTTGTCATTTCTTAGATTTACGAGCAAATCTGACATTTTAAATGAAGTGTTTTCAGATTTTTTGGCGAGTTTATTTTGTTTTTGATATCCGATATACACTAGATATGGTCACCATCACCCATGACCATGATTGTTGTAAAGCATTCGAAACGTCGGTAGCCAAAAATAAAATAAACTCGCGAAAATCCCGTCTAATAATTAATTTAGTTTTATTTTTTTAATAAATGGCAGTTTAAATATTAATGGTGTGCTTAATGTATTTATGAAAGGTCTGAGAATAAAATTAAATTGCATATTTTAAAACTGATATTAAAAATATTGGAGCAACACATTTGCGATACAATAAAACATCTACTATTATTCAGACGTCATTTCGTAACGTCCAAACAGAATGTATATAGTTTTTTTATCTCAAATGAAAATTTCATCTATACATATAATAAAATTCTAAGTCAAATTTGTACATTAAATATTTTTTAATTTTTTTTATTGAAATAGACATTATTATCGATACAGAGGCCGAATCTATAGTTTTTAGAATTTTTGTCTATCTGTCTGTCTGTTACCGCATCACAGAAAAACTACTGGACGGATTTTGATGAAATTTGCTATGGTCATAGCTGGTTATCCGGGTCAACTAATATACTAATACGAGTATACTAATATATAGAACCTAAGAATTTGGTTTTGGTCATATGAACGCGGGCGGAGCCGCGGGCAATGCTAGTACATTATAAAACAATATATTTTCCTTTCAAAATGGAGATACTATAGTAGTTTTCTAAAAATGGCATTAAATTTTAAATTGTAATAGCTAATTTCTTCATTTGAATACGTAGTGAGTAAAGTTATGCGCATTTGTTATAGTGATGGATGGGAAGTATGGGATGTGAGAAATCTGTTACGGTGATTTTTTTTATTTAAAACATACTGTATACATTTATATATCATTCGAACATTGAAAGGTTTTTAAATTTAATTGGAAAATTAAACATATTTGAATATATAGTTATGTTGTTTTCTCGTTGTACTTGTACTGGTTAGACAGAGCTAGCAATAAAAAAGATAATGTGTATGAAAATGCTATAAAAAAATAACATTCGTCCGGGTTATGTTTTATTTAATTCAACATAACATTTTGGTTATTTAAGTGTATTGGAATTCATTTAAAAAAGTTCAATTTACAAAGCAAATTTTATCATAATCAGCTCAGCTTTTTTGCTAAAAACTAAGCGTACAGAGTAAAGTAGGTATATAATGTTAGTCTTAAAAAGAAGATTACAACAGTATATCCTAAAATGTGTAAAATATTCCTAACTCGAGCGTCCATTAGCAAACATGGTATACAGGGTGTTTGGGATCAAGGCCGGCATACTGAGCAGTGTGCGTTGCGCCATCCGACTGGACACTTGTTCCATTTTACATATACATATATCCCAATAACATATTGCAACTAAAATTATTTGTAGTGTTTTATTTGTTTGATAGTTTTTCTGTTTTTTGTCTCTAATTCTTGTATTGAGGTATTTTTCTAAGTTTTTTTTACTTATTTTTATGTTATTTTTTTTATGTGCTTTTTATTATTGGCTTTTCTTGTAACTGTGAAATCAAATCTTTTGAAAACAACATCATATTAATCGTTTCTATTTTAAATTTTGTGTGATTGATATTTAGGATGACTGAGCTAAGAGGTTAATAGTGGATATACACAATGACACTAGCAAAACCTTCTATTTTGGCTCATTTGATTAGTTTTGACGAGTTCCATCTAAATTACTGTTGAACAAAAACGTATCTTTCTTGTTTAATATGTACATTACTTGTATTAGAAGGTAGCTGTAGCCCAGTAGCGACGCGCACTGATGTGCGAATCGTTTTCAGCAGGATCCAATTTATTTCATGACCTTCTCGTGTAACTATAATATCAAGTTTTAGAAGTACATTTTAATGTAAAACGCTGTGCTTCTGTGTGTTGTAGCTATTTTAAACATCGTCACTATAAAACATTTAATGATTTCATACCATATGTGTATTTCTTTATATTATTACTAACTTTTTTTATATTATTACTAAGTTCAAACAATAACTCACGTGGTATTCCAGATCCTAGTCTATATGTATATTGTACTTGTGACTTTCCCATATAAAATATCATCCCCATTTTTACCCCCATAACATGGGTGATTTCTGGGATAAAAACTATTCTATGTTATTCCCAGGGTGTCAAACTATCTTACCTAATTTCATCTATACCTATTGGTCCAGTAGTTTCGAAGCCTATTCAGTACAACTACAAGCAAACAAACATATAATCAAATCTTTCCTCTTTATAATATTAGTATAGATATATAGTAAATTTCATTAAAATCTGTCCTAACTCTTTCAGCGTACAGAAGTAACAAACACACACACAGACATATACACACACGAGCATACGAACTTTATAGATAGATTATCAGATATTTTTTTTGCCATTTTACAATATATAATGTGTAATGGTGTGTACCCTCGCGGCAGGTGCACTCGTGCTACGGCGAGGAGCTGGGCTTCGACTCGGACGAGGGCGGCGCCGCGCCCGACGCCGCCGACGCCGGCGACGCGCCCGACGCAGAGGTTTGTGACGCCGGTTCTAGTTCCATTCTTTTTCTAATATATAAAGTAGCCTATGTTACTCCCTATAACATCAGCTATCTATAAGTGAAAATCCCGTCGAAATCAATCCAGCCGTTTCAGAGATTATCCGAGACAAACAGACTAGTGATTGCAATCCGGCGTCATTTTCAGTCCGGCCGGATCCGACCGGATTGATCAAATCAGGATGATTTTCGCTTTTCGGTCGAAAATGAACTGTTAATAAGTTAATCAAGTGACATTGTTCTTAATACAGGTAGTTTATAAAAAATAAAATATATATGTATATAGTAGTATATAGTATATATATAGTAGTAGTAGTGTAGTATATAAAAGCTTTTTAACAAAAAATAAAAACCAACTGAATGTCAAAAATAACTAAACGGAGGTTTTGATTTAGAATGATACCTACTCAGATATTTTCGAAGTCGATATATTACGTAACGTACACAAAACTTTCTTACTTCCCATAATTTATAGGAAGTATAAATATTTATGGGCAGTAATAAACACATGAATTGGTTAAAAATTAGTAATTTAGACAAATAAGCACAGAGACGACGGATTGTACGGACGCATTGCATCAGACAACACAATAAGAGTATGTATTTCAAAATAAACCTTTTCGGATTTTTTCACGGATTTATTTTGATTTTTAATTCTGATTGCTGCAAAGCACCCTCGCCTCGCTCAGGTTCGTCCCTAGGTACGGTTTAAATAGATATAAATAGTTATTAACCGGCGTTAGCAATGTAAATTTTTTTTTTAGGTGAATTTATTGATGTTTTTGACGTCGTGGTGTCGTCGTTTTGTGTTGGACGTTTATTTAGAAAAAATATATAAGGATTAAAAAGTATATTATATAATATAATATAAATATCTCGTGTCACGGTGTTCCTGGTCGCACTCTTCCACTCCATATTTGGTAGGTATGAGAATAGGTCGTAAAGTAATTTTTACTCACCAACCTCCCATATTTTAAAAAAAGGCGAACGAACCCGAGCGGAGCAATGGTGAGTCGCTAGTAAGTAGTACATCTGGGAATGGTTTAGATTCACAAGAATAATAATTTTCATCAAATAGACAGGACAACGTCTGTCGGGTCCGCTAGTACTATATAAAAGCGTTTAAAATAAGAAACTAAAAGCCATAAAAAATATATTTTTTGACCCCTTTATCTATGATAAAAATATTTATTTGTGTACAATGTATATATATTGTACATACATTTTATTTAAAATCGACCATAAAATAGACATCTTCGTGTCTTAAATATTTCCGTTATAAAAACTTTTTTTAGTAATAATAATTAAAGCGTTTTTTCCATATAATACTTTCGGAAAGTAAGTTTTTGTTCAGATTATTATTTTCTTATACATCGAATCGGAAACAGCATTGACAAGTAAATTTTGACAAATCCATTACTTTGTTTACGTCTCATTCGCATTAATAATCACATTAGCCTTGAGAGATCTTAAAGATGTTTTTATTTTAAGTACAAATTTTTAAAAGTACGATTTTTTTGCCCATAAGATGGTATAATTTATTATTTTTTTTAAATAGTCTAAATGTATTTAACTTATTATTTTAATTGTGTAAAAATCACTTTCTTTATGTTATGTAGTTGTACAAAAAAAAATGTACATATCAGGTAAAGAAATATTTATATTTTAAACTTTTATATTTAATTAAATATATTAAGTTAATAGAAAAATAAGTCTTAAAAAACGTAAAATCGTCGTAGTAAATTGACGAATTATTAAGACATTTAGATATATTGTAACATAAATGATATCTTTAACGCAAATTTCAATGAAAACAAAATAACGTCTGATTGTGATATACATACGTACGAGATAAACCAGTATCGCGTTGTATGCGATAAGTGGCGATAAACGGCTACTCTGCGATGGTCAGCCAGAAAAAAAAGAAAAAAGTGAGTTGTTTTAAATTGTTTTTAAATTGTCCGTCCAATATATGTTACTAAGTTGATGAGTTATAGCTGATTGATTTGCTATTTTCTTTGGTTGTAAGGCGTTGTATCTATGTCCAATTTTTTTACATTGATTTTGTTATACATTTTTTTCTTTGAATTAACATATCAGGCAAAGTTCTTTTTTTATTATTTAACAATTTTTTCGTGTCTATTTAGAAAAAATAATTAGTACAATATTTCATGGCAAAACTGGAATGTATTCATTTTCGAAAGCTACTGGTAATGTGATAGGACAACGTTGTTATGAGTCACAACAAGATAAATGAAATTATTATAAATACAATGAGTCCGAAATGAATATTTGGTTCGTTTCATAGAGTAGGATACTCAAAGGTTATTCTGATAGAAAATAGGCAAAAAAAATAATAGAAATGGTATCAATTTTACGGTTTTCGCTATGGTGTGTTCAATAATTAGATATTTAGCTACAATAAAGTATCCTAAAGAAATCTTATACAAAAAAGAAGTCCAGGCAATGTTTCTAGGCCCTTTAAGTGAAATCCTTTTAAAATTCATAATATTTATTTATGACGTAGTTCGCACAAAATCACTAATATTTTGTAACTCATGACTTTTCATCTTCAAAAAACTAGTTTAAATAATTAAGCTATCTAACAACTAGCGACTTGAACTAGCTTCGCTCGGGTACGTCCTTAGGTACGTTTTATTTTTTTGTAAACCCAGATTCTTTTTCTAAAATAAAAGCAGCCTAAGTTCTTATAACATTAGCTATTTGTGTAGTCCAGCCGTTTCGGAGATTAGCTGGAACAAACAGACAAGACAATTTTTTAAAAATCTTGTGTTTTTGTTAGTACCTACCGTATACAATTTTACCTGCATTTAAAAAAAACTGCTATTTTGACATTACCAACAGACACTTCAATTTTGTATATCTGCATACATACATACATATAGCTATTACCGCCTTTGCCTTTGTTTACATTTTCGTTTGATTTTTTAAATGTGTTTCATGATATAAAAATAAAGAATTTAAAATATTTTCGCTTTATTTTCTCTATTTCTATGCGTGTGTAATACGATGTTAATAGATCACGTCTGTGTCAAAATTACCGCTCATCTACTAATTATGAGTTAAACCTTTCAGTTCGTCAGTTTTGTTTTGTAGTTCAAGATTCATTTTGAATAATAACAGTAGTGCTTACTTGAGAGTGTAAAAACGGGAATGTGGAAGTTATGACGTATCTTATGTTGTGAAAATTATAATAAATATTTGATTTTATAAAATAAACACCATATCATATAATAAAAAGGTAGCTCATTGGGAGGATAATCGCTTTAGAAACCGAGTTAATCCGGTTCACACGATACTCCCTAAGTCCACAGGTCTCGCAACTCTGGCCTCTTTGAATATGATTATTATTTGACAATACTATGTAGGAAAAACATCGCGAAGAAGAGAATGTCCAAGATAGCTTTAGAAGTTTTCGAAAGACTTTTGAAGTCAACCAGGATATGCCCAAGGGACTAGCTATGGTTTAATGCCCATCGGGCTCACAAGAGACTAGTGCAGTGGCAAGTTAAAAAAGCTGAATAATTTATCGTATTAAGTATATTTTTTTTTTCGTACGCGCTGCTTTTTGTTATGATTTTGTTTATACAGGACGATATTAGTAATTATTGAATGTTTTTATAGAATGGAACTGTGACTCGTCGTGGCTTGCAAACCTTAACCCACACAGGTCCTGTGCCTAATCTCAGCGGCCATATCGATTTGACGTGCCGTCGATGTGTGAGAGTGAAAGAAATAGTGTCTTTCTGTTTGCGCGCACACGTACTGCACTATTCAATCACTTGGTATTAAGATTGGCCACCGTGGCTGTTTTTATAGACTATATAATCCATGCTGTAGAATACTCAAACTAAAAAAATATCTTTTAACATGTTTGATATTTTTTTAATATCTTTAAACTTGTTTGAAGGCAGTGGTAGCCCAGTGATAATACGCTCGCTTGGGAAACCGAGTGAAGCGGATTCAAATCCCGGGTCTCGCACCTCTGATATTTTCATGTGCGAATCATTTATAATATGTCATTACCACTACGTCTTACGGTAAAGTAAAACATCGTGAGGAAACCGGCATGTCTGAGAGAACCTAGCAAGCTTTACAAAAGATATGAGATGCCTGATCAAGGGGGATCAGGCCATAGTCCAGTCCTCTTGTAATAAAAGGAAGTCCCGTGCCCAGCAGTGGGATGTTAAAAATGGGTTGAATACGAAACCTGCTTGCAATATTATTAAGGGCCTCTACTCCTTTGTTGTTCCCAAACTTTTAAATTCGGTTCTGGTGGTAATAGAGAGAAATATGTATATAAAACACTAAAAAAGACCTTGTTACTTTGGTTTTATCCAAACCTTTTTGTGCAGGAAGCGGTCGATTCATCCTCAATGGAGGCGAGTGGAGGGGGTGGCGGGGGTTCCGGTGCGGGGGGAGGGGAGACCAGATCTGTCTCAAGAAATAACTCTACACCACCTTTACGTAAGTTACATTACATATTTACAAATTCTCTGTTGTTGTATGTCTATTTGTTTGTATTTATTTTTAAATAGTGACTTAATCTGGCTTCGCTCCGGTGCGTTTCTAAGCATTAGGAATGCATAAAAGACAAACGTTCAAAGGAAAATTCTTTTTTTGCGCTAAGTACCTTCGCAGGCATATACAGAATAACCGGCTTTATTTTTAATAGTCTGTGTAAAAAAACTTTGTTTTGACATTTTATGAATTTTATAGTTAAAAAAAAATAAAGTGCGTATGCGCACTTTTCTACACCGGTTCCACCGTCAGGATCTTTTCACTCAGTATAAAATACAAGGGATTCACCAAATCAAAACAATTCAGTACAAATTGCATTAAAACGAACTTAATAAAACTAAACTACACTGCCTCCCAAATTACATACAAATGTATGCAAAAACTCTCAAATTCAAACGTTGTTTTTATATTTAAATGTTTCTATATTTTGAACTTAAACTTCTTAGCACAATACTTTCTTAGATTTACGCGAATATTTGACATTTTAAGTAAAACTATCTTTTCGGATTTTTTCGTGGATTTATTTGATTTTTGGTTCCCGACGTTTCGAATGCTTTACAGCAATCATGGTCAGGGAAGAGACTAAGGTGTTAGATGTCTCAAAGGCATTATATAGTTGTTACAAACAGTCTACCCACAAAATAACAAGATGAATTCAAAAATGGCACCGTTTGGCATTTTTTATAATTTTAATAAGTTTTATATTTGAATATGGAATATTATTTGTTTATTTTTAGCAATTACTTATTATTTATTACAATTATAAGATGGCGTCATTTTTATTAAAATGATTATTAAAGTGTCGCCAAAATGTAAATATGTATCACACAAATAGTTACGTGACTTATCTCTTGAACATGACACGGGTAATTTGCTCAAAACATAACCAGGCTTCTTCAATAACTACATACATACATAAGTAGGGACTTCCCCAATAAGTATTTGTGTTGGAAATAATAAAAAGCATTATATTCAGTGTTGCCAGTTTTGAAATAAAATTTTTGAAGTGAAAACTTCTATAGACAGGTTTGGATAGGGGGTAAATTCATGTAAGTCGTCATCGGCATGGTCGCGTGACGTGTTAACGCTAACACTCAGAGTGCCGATAGATGTCGAAACCAGATAAATGTAAACAGTTTTAATTTACAAATTTTAATTTAAGATCGAATAATTAATTTGAATATCCAAAAATAACAACTGTTCGTTTATAGTTTTAAGTTTTTACTTCTGTCGGCTTTCCTCATGACTGCTTTTTTTAATTTAAATACCTGTGTGACAGTAACTCACTCGCTAATCACGTTCATTACACCATCTTCAGATGATAATAATTGTTTTTTTTTAATATTTTATAAAATGAATCACACTATTCTGATGGAAAGGGATTATTTTTCAAAAAAAAACTGCAAGATCCCTAAGTCTTATATAAAAACATTCTTTTTCTGCTAGAATTATATTTCGACACTGCCCAGTATGCTAGATGTCACGAGTTCGATTTTTTGATAGGGCAAACATATGTATATTATGTATTAACATATATGTATATTTGTCTCGGTTATATACTTCACAAAGTGAAGAGTGAGTCATTTTACTGTTTTGATTTACCACCGTAATAGAATGATAATGATTGTTTTTTTATATGCAGTCTGTTCTTAATAGGTATAATTAAAACATTATATATATTTCTATGCTCGAGGCAAATACAAATGATGTTGCTATATTAAATTATTAAAATTTATATATACCAACACTGTTTCTATGAAATGGCCGCTTAAAGCCGGGAAAGCTCAATGATAACCACACAATAAGTTCCTTGTTGATAAGCTTATAATTTGATTAAAATAAAGGCTCTTTCATAAAAAATATATTTATATTGTGTGCATTTTTCTAGAGATCCCTACTCAGAATAACCCTAAGTGAAATTTTTATACCTGTATAGCTTATTTAATATATAACGTATATAATATGTAGTTGGATATTGCACACAAATTAAAAAGAAATGATCGGTTTAAAACAAAAAAGCAAACCTATATTCATTCAAAACTTATTTCACCAGTAAAAACACCCATATAGTGGTAACCTATTGATTAAAAAAGTTACGATAATCGATTTATAATTGGCGAAGATATCACGTAACAACTAAGACTAACATACACACAAAGAAAAAAGACATATTGAGTACGTCTTCCTTTTAGAAATTAATAGATATGCATAATTTTTGTAGTACAAATTTAACTTGACTAAAAATTAATAATTAAAAATAAAATGTAATAATATTGTTTTACTTGGCGAGTTATTTGTTTTTCGAAAATAATGTTTGTTTGTAAATGCATTGACTTGTTTACAAAGAATATATTAATTTAATTTTTACCGACTAAATTTCATCAAAGGTAATCGAATTTGCTATTATTAACTTAATGACAGTTCTGGAGTAAAAATCACATAGAAAGCAATGTAAATAATGCTAATTTATTAAAATTATATTATTATTATTTGTTTGAACACTACGTGCCTATATTACTGGTGCAGTCACTTAAGGAAAAATAAGGGGTCTAACTCTCTGCCCTCTCTCTATCTTAGAAACGGTTGAAAGTATGAGAATTTCTTTTAATCAAAATTTGTCGCAAAGTTTATGTTCTACAATTTTTATCATAAATGTTAATATCATTGGAGCTATAGAAACCGAGATAATCGCGAAAAGCTGATTTTTGTGACTTTTGACCTTGAATAACTTACTGACCAGACACGAGATTTTATGAGAATTGAGACAATTTTGAGAACACCAAAATAAAGGTGTATACGAGTTTACAACTTATTATCTGTCATAACGAGGTGAAACCCCTAATATGACTGCATACAACTTTGTTAGATAGATGATACTAACTGTTATGTAAAGTTTGAAACGTTTAAACAACATTGGTAGGCCTACACTTCGTTAAGTTCAGACTTGTTATTTTTTTCTTTCTAATTGTCTATTTCTATGTCATTGCGGTCTCAAAATAGTGGAATTTGTGTTTTTTTTTATAGATTTTTTGCTATAAAATAAGTTTTTTACTCGTATATATTTATTTTGAATAGTTATTTTTATAATTTTTTGACGATGGCATTTTGGTATAATCGACGAGAGTGTCTATCGACGCGAATGCTGGATGGTTTTGTGGTAGTGAGTAGAGAGGCGAGCGAGCTCTGGCCGGGAGAGTTTGCTAACGGGATGGTCGAAGTTGCTGAGGAGGGTATGCTTTAACATTCAACTTTATTTATGGTATTTTGATATAGGCTTGGTCTTTAACTGCCTCGGTGGTCTAGTGGCTAGCATGTACGGCTGCAGACCCGAAGGCCCTGGAGTCCCGGGTCGAGCTAAGTAATGAATTTATCTGTCAAAAAATACTAAGTATAGTAGTACCCTCCCGGAGTTTGGAAGTTCGCTATGTTTCACTCCCGGGCTTTGGAGAAAACGTAAAAGTCCGCATGATCATTGCGAGTAATAGAAATAGAGAGTACACCAATCTAACGTATTCTTGTGCACTGCAGTAAGTTGGCACCCTGTTGGCGAGCATTGGCCGAAATCTGTCAAGAGGACATTGTTATTATAGACTATCAGTCTCGGTTTCAAATCCGGCTTGAAGCAATTCTTTTTATTTTTATTGTACAATATTTTTTTTTAGATATACATATACGTAATTTCATTATTTAATCTTTATTTAAATGTATTATTTTTGTTTGGTAATTAATTTATGAATTTTAAATTTGATACAATTAGTTTTTTCAGTAACAGCTGAATAATTGAGCTAATAACATGGAAACGAAACTATTGAGAGTAAAATTTTGGCAACAACACATAAACTGCATAAAACTTGGCAATCGCTTCTCTATAAAACGCACTGTGTTTATTCAGACTTTGATTTAGTTCCAAACTCTTACAATTCCTATAAATTTGTTCATATTCTTGAAAATTAAATATGAACGGGTGTTTTTATATTAAAAAAAAACTAGCTCAAATAATAATCAATTTTGCATTTTTCAGTAACTAACGGCGATTCAGAGTTTCGTGGGCGGGAGGAGGAAGCGGGGGATACGCTGCCCACGGACATGTCCGACACCAGCGAGAGTGAACCTGAAAAACCTCCAAAGTATGTACTATGCCCTAGTTTTTATTTATATCATGTCTAAGTTGTTGCATTTAAAGTGTCTTATTGGTCTAGTAGCTGTTATATTCGGCTTCGGATATGGAGGTTCTTGGTTCAAGTCTCGGGTCGAGGTAAACATAGTTTTACTTGAAAAAACTCGATTTTTCTGTCAAAACATTATTAGTAACAGCCCGGAGTTGGGAAGTTGGTGTGATCTGTGCCGAAGCAAAACCTACGACTGGTCTCTTACCGCGACTATTGAAATATACTATATCCTTACATCTTTATTCCGAATATCACTAAAAACCTGTTACAGCTCGAAGAAACCTAACTACACATTTAGTATACTCACATTTTTTAAAGAATGAATTTAAATAATTTTAGTAAATGTAAAATAACCTTTTAATTTGTTAAAGCAATGGCGAAGAAGATAAGTGCACAGCGCCCCATGAAGGCAAGGTGTTCCTGCAGCAAGAGTTCCCCATCAACATCGACCAACTCTTCACCATGATGTTTACTAACTCCAAGTTCAACCTCGAGCTGCTTGCCGCGAGAGGTACCACAGACTATGTACAGGTAGCTAGAACATAATATTGTTATTGAATTATTAAATGAGGTTTTTTTTTATTTATTTATAAGAACAATTCATTTACTAAGAATAATTCGATTTATTGCTGACATTTCCAATCATATACAAAAAATATAAACTTGCGTGTAGTACAAACATTGCCGATTAAAAAAATAATACAGAGTACTCTAAGTGGCTTCAAGCATTTCTTCTTTAAACATTCAACTACGTTAGTAAATGTTGTGCTTGAGGTTTTCTAAGGATTTATTTATTTATTTATTTATTTTAGGGAAACAAACAGTACGATATTACATACATAATTAATAATAATAGATGACACATAAACCAATGAAGTTTCCACAAATTAAACAATACACTTAAGAAGCAGACCATAATGAAAAAGAAAAACAAAAAGCTAAACAATAAACTAAAAAATTACAAAATGAAACACTGCTTGACATGAATAATAAAAAAAAATAAAAAATAAGGAAAAATAAAAAATACATAAAATACAAAATCAACAATTAAACAATAGGTTATTAATACTATATTTGAATCTTAAAAGTGAATTTGAAAATATGTCTATACTTGTAAATTTTTTATTATACTCATTACATGAGCGAATTATAAAGGTATTTCGAGCATATTTCGTTCTAGTACATGGCAGGTCAAAAATATCGTGGTTACGCTTACTAAATTTTGGAACCTTAAAATTCAAACAGCTTAATAAGAATTAGGATATTATACTTTTGTTTACGCTCCAATATAAGACTAGTTTAAGCATTATATTATTATTTTCTATTTTGGTTATATCCAACCCCGTTACTTTATATCCATAAATAATAGGTATATATGACTATTGATTAGTAGAAATATTCACCCCAAGCGGGACTCGAACCCACGCCTGCCAGCGCAAAGACAAGGAATTCAATGATGACGTAATAATTTAAATTTTGTACTAAATATATAAATTTTGTTTGATGTAGGCGCCATGGCAACCACAGAACGGCCTGAAGTGCCGGCAGGTGAGCTACACGCTGAGCCTCACGTCGGGGCCCATGGGGCCCAAGGAGGTGCACGTCACTGAGACACAGGTAAGGTTGGATTTATACTGAAGTAGTCCGGCTCGAAGGACCAAGACTTTTTTACCTTTTATGGTTTAATAAATGATTTGTATTTATTTACTTTAACTGAGACAAGTAGGTAAATCTATACATATAATAAAATTGTAACTAAGCCGAATCTGTACATTAGATATTTTTTGGAAAATTTTATTGAAGTAGACATTATTATCGATTCAGAGGCCGAATCTATAGTTTTTAAAATTTTTGTTTGTCTGTCTGTCTGACTGTCTGTTACCGCGTCACAGAAAAAACCACTGGAGGGATTTTAATGAAATTTGGTATGATGATAGCTGGTTATCCGGGTCAACATATAGGATACTTTTTACCGCGGGAGAATATCTCATTTCTGAGAAAAAATACAAAAATTGCAATGTGAGAGTATACTAATATGTAAAACCTAAGAATTTGGTTTTTGGTTATCTGAACGCGGGCGGAGCCGCGGGCAATGCTAGTCATTATATAAAAATGATCAAATTCTAATAATCTGTATATCTGTATACATATATATAAGTTTGTTATTTTTTCACGCTAAAACGGCTGAATGGATCTGGGTGAAATTCAGCACTGCGATAGATTATAGTCTGTAATAACACATAGACTACTTTTTATCCCGGAAAAATATACGGTTCCCGAGGTATAGATTTGTTATTGTTTTTCTAGAGGAGGACCCGAGCTAAGCGACGGTGAGTCGCTAGTATATATATAAATGTGTAAAAAAAGTGAAATGTTGTAGTTGTTCTTTATTCACGCTTAACAGGTTTGAAGTGAAATTGACTTTTTTTTCAATGTTTGGAAATGCCATTTCGAATACCACGTACATACCGCTCGCGTGCCCGCAGGTGATGAACAAGTGCAGCCGGCCCGGCGCGCTGTACTCGATCGAGTGCACGAGCGAGAACGCGGGCATCCCGTACGCGGACTACTTCAGCGTGCAGGCGCACTACTGCCTGCGCCGCGCCGCGCCCGACGCCACCGCGCTCGTGCTCTGCGGGCACGTGCGCTACAAGAAGACCATGTGGCCGCTCGTCAAGGGTGAGTGTCCGGCGTGTGCTGCCGGGAGCTGCGAGGAAAGGAAATTTTACTGAATTAAAGCGCAGTTGAAGTAAATTTTTTTGGTGCTGTGACAGGTACCGCAATAAAATTATAACAAATCAAAATATGAATTACAATCATTTTTATAAATAATAATTAATATAAAATCATTAATAAATATAAATTCTTATAAATAAAATTATTATAAAATTAAATAAATATAGTCATTAAAAAAATATATTATTAATAAATTTGACTCTCATTACCGCGACACTCATTTTTACAATATTTTTTTATTGACTTTTTTTTGTGTTTGTAGGTATAATTTTGTAATATATAAAATATTATACTACGCAAGATGAGGCATTCCGGTGCATATGCAGTGTAAAGAAACCGTGTAGTCGTTTGTTAAGAGTACGCACACTCTAAAATATTTCGATTTTAGTAACTAATCTCACTAAAGTGAGCTTTGTACGTTAAAAGCGTACGCATCCTCTAGGAGACACTTAATAATAAGAACATATATATATATATATATATATATATATATATATTTATATATATATGTGTGTGTGTTACGGATGTCGAGTGTTCACAGTAAACTCGCACTACTGACTCATGTTATATATTATTTGAATGAATAATTCTGTAACACGTATGTCGGCGGCAGCGTTCCTGGAGAAGAACGCGATGGGCGGCATGGAGGAGTTCGCGCGGCTGCTGGCGGCGCGCCTGGCCGCCGCCGCGCGCCCGCCGCGCGCCGCGCCCGCGCCCGCGCGCCGCGCGCGCCGCCGCCGCCGCGACGGTGCGCTCCTTGCTTCATTATATATATATACAGATAAATAAAATTCAAGTGTCTCGTTTTTTCGACATTACAAATGTCAAAATAACAGCTTTTTACTAAATGCATATGAAATTATATACGATACTTATGAGATAACACAATTTTGTAAATTTTTGTCTATCTGTCTGTTTGTTACGGATAATCTCTGAAACGGCTGGATCGATTCTGATGGGATTTTAGTTGGAAGATAGCTAATGTTATAGGAAGTAATATAGGTTACTTTTATTTTAGAAAAAGTAGTTTCGCTCAAAAAATTTAAAACGTACCCCTATGGACGAACCCAAGCGAAGCGAGGGTGAGCCGCTAGTTTTAAATAAAGAAAGGTTTTTAACACTGTCTCGTGTGGTCCCCGCAGTGTCCCCGCTGTCGCCGGCGCTGGGCGCGGCGCTGGGCCCGCCGGCGCGCGCGCCCCCCGCGGCGCCCGCGCGCGCCGGCGCCTGGCTGGCGCTGGCGCTGCTGCTGCTGCTGGCCGTCAACGCGCTGCTGTACTGGCGCCTGGCGCACGCCGACCGCCGCGTGCTCGACGTGGACCACCTCGCTGCTAGGTCAGTGCAGATGCTCGTTACTCCTTCGTGCTGGAACGGCTGGACGCTTTTGGCTGAAACTTAATACATAAGTAGAGGAGCCCTAGATGCTCACTATTGTTAGATAAAGGTGTTTCCAAATGAAACGAACGTAAGTTGTGAATAATATAACGTTTTTTGGTAAAGTATATGAGTTTGGACACCGATAATCATGTATGCAGAAGATATTTTAGCGCATGAATATATTTATCATTTCTGTTCATTTTACATTCCTTTTTGTTAATCTCACATTCCAGTGAGACGACTCATCATGATCAGATAGGAGGGAGGTAATCACGGGATACAGCACGAAACCTCCCAACCCCGAGTTCTCATCAAGAATATCTCGACTTCGAAATATATTTAAATAAAGATTGCAAATATTGACATGGCAGGGGCGGCACGGTGAGCGCGGCGCAGGCGCAGCAGTGGGCGCGCGCGCTGGAGCGGCACGCGCGGCGCCAGCGCGGCGAGCTGCTGGCCTGGCGCGCCGCGCTCGACCGCGCCGTCGCGCTGCTCGCGCAGGTACCGCGCCGCACTTCACGCGACTCTAAACAATACCTTCACAGGAAAACCCCGGCACATATATTTGGCCCGAGGCGGAGTTGAATCTAAAACTATAACTATAAACAAGGCTGATTACAGACATATACTCCACCCTTCGTATATCTCACATAGCCATCTTACACACATATCTTATTCTCTAACGTATAGCCTCCACGTGACATATTCATCATCAAAATATACTTTATTCAAATAGACTTTTACGAGCTCTTTTGACTCGTCAATTTTACATTTTAAATTAAAATTAAATGTCAGTGTAGTCTGTCCGTTAGGAAGCCACCACCGGCTCGGAATGCAGTTTTATGCTGAGAAGAACCGGCGAGAAACTCAACAGTTGCTCTTTTAAAATAATAATTGTGTAAAAAATTGTAATACAATAATTATCTATTTATCCTACGTGAGACCAGACATTAGTTCCACACATTGATATCTACGAAGTATTCCATGACAGTATATATAATAAGCCCTATTCAGTAATACATTTTTAATTTTAGATACATATATAATATAGTGACGGAACCGAGCGAGGCGAGGGTGACCCTTTTTTTTTTTTTTAACGTTGGGAAATGCATTTACGCACGACGTGCGGGACTCACCGGCGTAATACAGCCAGTACTACCCACTAAAACCCAACAAAACCTTCCCCCGTCTTAATGGGGCGTCGCAGGATCGCTTACGCATTCAACTACGACGCCCCGACGGCAGGTCCGCCGAAGCAGACCACAACAACCATGGGGTTGCTCCACAGTCCACTCTGCTATCAGAGAAGTACCAGGAGCAACTCGCATGGTACACCGCCCTCCGAAGAAGGCCGCCTCCCACCGCCCACCGAAGCGGGCCACCTCCCTGTGCGTTTCTTGGCTTCGCGAGTACACTACTGAGCCCCCTCACCACGACAAGGTGAACGCACGTTGGGGGGGAAAGGCGAGGGTGACCCTCTAGTATCCAATAAAATAACGAAAACGACACAAAAATACTCACATAAAGTAATTTTGCTAATTTTTACATTATTATATATGTATTATTTTGTTACATTTTCAGACGGAGCAGGCGTTGGCGAAACTATTAGAGACAATAAGGCCTGCGTTAGAGAAACCGGACGATAGTGGGCACGAAGAGCTGTGAGTGACCTTCGGGTGACCTTTTAATGACTTCGAGTGACGTGTCAGTGACCTTGGGGTGACCTCTGAATTTCGTTGCAATACTTCAATACATTTCATGTTTTAATGAAAGCCAATTTTGCCTAAATGAGGGTAGTTTATTATTTAAACGAATATTTTTAATTATAACAAAACAATATAATGACTTAGCTATTATATTGTTATAATTTTTATTTTTATTATGTATAGTATGCATACGTTTGTTGGGTAATACATACATATACTTAGTATTCTATCCCAAAAAAATAGTACCTCGTACGGAATAATAGCGCAATATAAAAATCCATATAGTATGTCATCGCGTTTGATCCTAACGAAAATCCCGCCAAATGAAAGTATTGTCAAAAAATACCAATTTTCATGGCGAATGGTTTCTAAGTTAACGATGTAGTCATCAGTAGTAATAGAGTCAACCCTCAAGCCGTTTCCCGACTGACGTATAAAAATAGTATGCCAGTCGGGTGCGTCTCACCCGCTACAACCCGTACAATTGAGGCCTGTAGACAGCTCAATTAATTAATTCAATTCTCTTGTTAATGGATTCAAAGCGTTTCAGTTGAGCAACTGATTATATGATTACAAACAAACAACAAACAAACATTGCGAGGAAACCTGCATGTCTGAGAGAACCTAACAAGTTTTGGAGAGACATGTAAAGTCCGCCAACCCGCACTTGGCCAGCGTGGTGGACTATGGCGTGAGGCTCGCGCCCAGCAGTGGGACTAACTAGTTAAAAAGGGCTGAATACAATAATCTATTGAGTGTCAGTTGACAGATCTCGTAATAGCAAGCAACTACCAAAAGTTTAAACCTATGCTATTTAGCTTCAAATCATGTTAATATATCCGTATAACATCTCTAATGTGTGTACTTAAAAAAATAAAAATAGTAATAATTTTCATATAAAGATCAGATATTGAACATATTTGCCCTAAAATTATTCAAATTATAAGTACTTATGTATAAAGAATATTTTTAAACTGCCAAATTATGTCTTAATATTTATTTGTTATAAGTGAACAACTATAAAGTTTAAAATATTTTTCAAATACATATATAAAAAATAACGTTTATTTATTCTGCAAAAATGTTTTTATTGCTCATCAATCAATTAAATTCCATTTATTTTATTATTAAAGTCCTAATTTTTGCAAATTCAAGAGTAATGTAAATATTTTATTTTTTTAATTTATTAAACAAAACAAAGAATATTTAAGAATGTTCATATTAAAGATATAAAATACTAGCGACTCACCCTTGCTTCACTCAGGTTCGCCTCTAGAAAAACAAAAACTAATCTATCCCACGGGAACCGTACATTTTTCCGGAATAAAAATTAATCTATGTACTATTCCAAACTATAATCTATCTCTGTGCCACATTTCATTCGGATCCGTTCAGCCGTTTTGGCGTGATTGAGTAACAAACATCCATCCATAAACTTTCAGATTTGTAATATCAAGTATGGTTAGCGCATACCAATATGATTTCCACGCATATATCTATTTCATTATTTAGCAGTCAAAATATTAATAAAATATAACTTCATATATAGAAAATTAAATCAAAATAAAATTTATAACGAAAGTGAAATTTAATAAATCTAAATAAATGTCTATTATATATTGGACCAGGGCCAATCATAAAAGTATCAACAGTATTACAAAATATATACAAATGCCTCATTTCGCTTCATTTCCAGTGTGCTAAATTGTAATTACCACTTTAGACCAAATTCAAGAAAGAAGGATATACTTAATTTTCATGTATGTATTTTTGTGTGTATTTTACACGATAGTTTCATCAATTGTGAACCAATTTTGATCAATTAATCGATTGCCTCAAAATCATTTCCATATTAATTGCAAGAGTAAAAGCCTAAAAGAGTAAAAGTTTTGAATTCCATGTCCTTTTTTTTATTTAAAAACCAACTATAAAAAAAAAAATATACCAAGACAAAAAAAAGTAGCATTTTTAACCGACTCATCGATTGATCAAATATTTTTTATGCAAGCGGTTTTATCTCATGAGATAATTAAGTTTTTTGTTTTATATGTGAACATGCATTTTGAAGTCGGTTTACATTTGTAAAAAAATTGTTTGTTTATTTGCTAATACGAAATCTTTCAAATTAGTTTATAGATTTTAAAGAAAAGTACAAGCTTAAAAATTTATACATACACAGTGTGTATTTATACATGTGTTTCAGTAAAATTTCAAATAAGAAAATATTCAAATCATACATTTCGATAGATTTAGATTTTCCTCACTTGTGCTTGACATTTTTTTTAACATATTTTGCCTAAGAAAGTGTTTATCTGATTATGTATAATGCACATTTGTTTTCCCATTTTTTTGGTAGAAAAGTACTGAAAAATGGGAAAACAAATGTGTATTATACTTAAAAAAGTCTAATTATTATAAAAAATAATAATATTATCATCCCAATCCTAACTAACTATAATATGTACAGAATAAGTGAATATTATTGTACAGCATTCCTATTTTATTTTTTATTATATAATATAAAGTAAAACCCATGTTTGTTGGTGTTTTTGTATTTTTTGACCTAATCACAAAGGCTTTTTAGCAATCACTTTATAAATATTTTAAATTAGTTTAAGAAAACGAAATTAAATATGTATTAAGTTACCTATATATATGCAATTGTTAGCTTATTAAGTGGTCTATTTTTTTTATTTAATTATTATTATTTTTTTTTATTTTAATATTGTATGTATATTTCTTTAATTTGTATATTATAATACTATTTGTTTATTTTTTTAATGAAAACGTTTGTTTTCGAATTGGATATTTGTAACACTATATAGAATTTATGAAGACAGATAGCATTTATGTTATTTTTCAGTGATAATACTATTAGTTAGAATTATTGTGTCAAATCAGAGACTTTTGGCCGCCTTTCAAATGTCGTGTATAGTATAAAATAATTATGTAAGCAATAATATTATAAGTTAATTTAGTTTACTCTTTTTTTTATTACTAGCAACCCACCCTTGCTTTGCTTTAGTCGTGCACATAATTTATTTTTTTTTTATTTTACAGCTGTTTCCGAGATTAGTGGGTACAAACAAACAAAATGTTGACATTTGGGCTTTGTTAACATGCAAATGGTGGCTGTTTTAGTTTTAAAATCACATACAGACACTACAATTTTATTTTTAATTATATGTATTATTATGTAATAGGTATTATCAAGTGTTTTATAATATTATAATATTTCTTTGAAAGGCGGCCATCTTTCCTAAGATAATTTATAAAACGTCAATTTTAATAACAAAATAATTGATGTGCGTATAGATGTCTTTTTTAATTTAATTTTTTTTTAACATAACTTAGTAGATTCTACAAGATGTGGTAATATATAGTATAATTACTTAGTGAAGTAGTGTCGGTCACGTCGTATTGTAGTCACACGTACGTAAAATGTAGAAGTTAGAAACAAACAAATTAGTGAGAGCTACGACGCACAGGGAATTAAAAATTAAAATTATTAATTAGTATTTAAAAAAATAGAGCGTTTCAAGCTCAAAGAAAACATTTTGACATTTAAAATTAATATTATCTGTGGTTCTTTAAAATTAAAAAAATAATATTTATGTTTAATGAAATGTCCTAACATTGAACAGTACCTGTGCGTTATTGTGTGTATATAAATAATCTAAATGTATGTTTTCCAATAGATAGATTTTAATGAACTCGATGAATTTACTTCGTGTATAGTGTTTACAAAAGCTATCGAAAATATTTCAATGTTAAATTTCTCTTCGGAGATCTGAGTGATGTTTTTATTTGAGGGAGGAACAAAGCTTGTAATATAACTGGTTTCCTTTTGGGTTTTTTTTCATATGACAAATTTCTTGTCTTTTCATAGTTTTATTTATATTTTTTTATATCTATTTATGTAATATATTAATTAAAATTCAACTATGTTGAGGAAACTGGCTGTTCAAAGTTGGACATGCGCGGTGGGTAAAATTCAATCTTCTCGATTGTAAGAGAAGACACAATTTGCCCAGCAGTGGGTTATTCGTCCCAGTCGTTGGACTTCACTTAGATCTTTGATGAATATTATATTATTAGATAATATATTTCAAAAATATATTAAATGTAAAATTTTTAGTTTTAGTTAGTTTTTTTTAGAAAAACTATATTGGTGCTTTTATATCGGTTTTAAATTGTGGCGGTGATTTTATTTATTTGTATAGTTTAGCTAACAATGCTATGTGTTGTTTATATTTATTTTATTATAAAAACAAAGGTAATATTATATTGTTTTTTTTTTAATTACTTTTGAAACTTGATATTATTTTTTTGAATTGGCAATTTTGTTTCAACTTCTATGTAAGTATTTAACAATTATAAATGACTGTCTAGACTCTAGAGCTTTAAGTGAAGGATCAGAAATTATTTGGTATATTAATGTCGGGCGATTGATGAACATGAGATTTGTCGAAAGAAACAAACGGACAGAAGTGTAGGTGATAGTTATTATATAATATTATAATGTCATGTCAAATCTAATCCAGTTTTTTTCCCCTCAATATTAGTGTTGATAAAGACGCTTCCAAAACAAAAACACATATAAGTCAGATATCGATCAAAAAAAGAACTAGATACACAATCAGCGACAAAAATGTACTCACCGAATGAGCGCTTATTTGAACATTTGAACGCGCTTTTAAATTTTTTTTTGTTGTGAAAACAACTTTTAAAATTGTATTTAAGGTTCAATTTACATTGTTATATATTTCAACTACAAAAATCACCACAGTGACAGTTATAAGACAACTTTTGCATGGGATAGTGTACCTATCTAGTACTTTTTTGATCGATGATTTTAGAACACTAAAGTGGCCTAACCTTTGCTTAATTTTATGTTTTTAAATGAATAATATAAATGAAATTTTTAACAAAAAATTAATCATTATAATTAACAATGCAAAGTAATTTCAATATCGTCTGCATTTAAGTACCAGTGAGACGCGGTTAGTTTTTGTCGACTATCCCACGGGATGTACTTTCTAGGGGAAAATTGCGTCACTATCGGACCAGACCAAAGAAGGACCAACTAAGATTTTTGCATTTATAAAAAAAATATATTATTTGTATTACCAGTGTAATGTGAGCAAATGTTCAGACCACTTTAGCGTAATCTGCTTCATTCCTGTTCCATTGTCTAGCGTTGTTAGCTAACTTTAGTTAATTCATTCCAAAATAAAATCGATCTGATCAAATGTTTGGAGTGTATCCTACAGTACGGGGAGGGTCGCCTGTGCGCGGCACAAACTGTTAGCGCGTAGACACTTCCCTGTATTAAATAAATATTTTAATGTACCCGGTGTTTTCATTTATTGGTGACCCTTCCAATAGCTTTATTTTCAGACGACTGCCTTATTGCTAGTATGTACGGCTGCAAAATCATGAGGTTTTAGGGTTGAGTCCCGGGTTGGACCAAATTAGTTTGTCACGAAATACTTGTAATCGCCCGAATTTGGAAACTCGATAGCCATATTATGCTGTCGGCAGTAGATACCATGCCTTTTCTCACCCGCGTTGAGTTAATCCAACAGAATGAGGTTTGACCATCTCTTGTATGCCACTACTGTATTTTCAAATATCGGGTTTTCATACGCCACAGTTTGCTCATGTTATTTTTATGAAAATTACGTATAGATAGATATTTTATTTTCATGCTGCATATTTTATTTTAAATCAAAGAAGTTTTATTCGATATATTTTGTTAATACATATTTTGATATAGATACGTAACTAGCGTATCAGGTATGTTCGCAGAGTCCAGAGTAGACTGTTTATATACCACATTGCGCAAGCGGCGGCCCTGGTGCGCAGGATTCGGGCTAGTTCAAACAGTATTCTAACCACTTGACTGTATGTATGCACCATTGTTGCGCTATATCTCACGGAAAGCCTCCGTGACTCATGTACTCTGTAATATAAAATATCATCTAATAAATAAATATCTCGTGTCACGGTGTTTGTGGCCGCACTCTTATGAAACGGCTCGACCAATTTTAACAAATTTTTTTTTGCTTATCACCTCCACTTAAATGTCTAAGAAACCTATTGTTAACTGTAACGCGGTCGTGGAGGGATTATTTGATAAGTATAAGATTATGTCCTAAAGTATTTTTCACCCTCCTACCCCCACACCCCCTTTTTTAAATAGCTAGGGGCAGACCCGAGTGAATGAGGCTGTGCCGCTAGTAGTATAATGATATTTTTTACTAACATAGAATTAAATCTTTATGTATACCTACTAACAAAATGAGTCACTTACTTGAATAAATGAATTTATTATGTAATTTAATATATATCTCGTGTCACAGCGTTTGTGGTCGCACTACTCCAAAAAGGCTCGACAGATTTTAATATAAAAAATTATAACTGGTAGGTATGAGAATAGGTCGTAAAGTATTTTCCACCCTCCTACCCCCACCTCCCATTTTTAACGTAATTTAAGCACAATTTCTTATATATTATTAGTTATTTACACAGGAAAAGTGTAGAGTAACAGAACAGCAGTAGTATAAGGACTAAATACTTATATATGTTAACTAGCTGGGGTACCAGGCTTCGCTCAGGAAGTTGATATGAGATAGTGTAGTTAGAATAAAAGGATAAACTTTAAAATATAAGTTTTTTTTTGTTTCCAACATATTCTATTTACACAGTAACTTGTTTACAAACATTTTTTTATTTCGTTATCCGGGGTATATTCTGTATACCTATAAATTTTTCGAATTTCCTACTCAAATCAAGCAGGAGTCTGAGGTTGATGCCGCAATCTTTTACGTTCGAACCCACGACGGACCTAGCTTTATGTACCCCTATCAATAGGTAGCCCCAATCCTAAAAAAGGCTTCGTCGAATGGTCCAGTCCACAATGTTCGAATGTTCGAGTGTTCTAGAATGCTCCACAATGATCTAGGATGTTATGATATCCCGGGATGTTCCCAAAAAGTCCACAACATTCCAAAACACTCCAGGATGTTCTGGTATGCTCTCGAACGCTCTCAAATGTTCTGGATTGCTCTAGAATTTTCTATAGGGCGAAACCTTCAGCCTTTATATCTTCAAAAGCACGCCCTTTAGATAAAAACTGGAACCTACTTCATGGATGGGCGATTGAGGGGTACCATAATACATAACTCCCTAGATCGTACCGGGACGGTTTCCTATTTTTAACCGCACGCCCATTGTACTTTTAGATTTTTTATTATCACCCGAATGCGGCTAAGCCCAAAGGAGGGTTGTGTTTGACCTGTATGTCCAATTCTGTTCCCTCGTAATTACTAAACTCAATCGATTTTAATGATTCATAAGACGTTAGATTAGTCTTAATATTTATTTAATAAAGCCAGTGACATAGGGGTACATATGTGTGTACATTTTCTAAACTATCTGCGAGTCTTGCTACGTGTACTAATTTTCTCTGACTGCATAATAATGTTCCTTTGTTAACTTGTGCTCAACTTTTTAGTTCACTTTTTAATCAATCAGGTTTTTTTTGTAAATTATTTTTTTTATGATAAAGGTGAAAATAAAACAATTTTTTGTTTGAAAATGTTTATTAAAAAAATAAAAAATCACTTACCGTTCGAATTCTAAATATAGACGACGTTAAATGTGTAGTGTATTCAATCATTATGTAGTCAAGTGAAGCCATTATTTTGTGTAGATACTTAATAACTAAATTAAATTGACTTTAAATGAAAGTTTATTTAAACCTAGATTCACTATAGGAATCCTCAGTTCTCAAATAAGTAAATATTTATTGGAAATTCTTTCATTCTAGTAGGAATAAAAAAATCTTATTTAATTTGGAAAAAGGAAACGGGGGTTAATTATACATTACCTGCGCAATCCAATGGGGAATAACCACAAAAACAACAAAATACTCTGACACTGTGTCAAGATTTATTCAAAAATCCATCATACACAGACGTCCGAGTTCACTTAAAGCTATATATTCAGAGACCTGATACTCCAAGTGTCTAAATACGTTGTTTATTTATCATCATCTTTGAAGACCATGGTGGAGTGGCACTTCCCGCAGTAGTGTCGGTCCTCCATGACAGCCATGAAGACACCAGCCCCACACTGCTCCCCGGTGCACTCTCTGCGCAGACGGTGAATCTTGCCATTCTCGTCCACCTTTAACGGGACACAAAAACAATTATTGCATTATAGAACTTAGCTATTTAAATAGTCTATTGGAATAAAGTAAATTTTGATTAGATTTAAAAGAAACTGTAAAGAGTTACAGATCTATATATTTTAAGAGATTTTAGCTTTTTTTTAATCACCAAGCCCTAGCCTAAGTAACTTGTTTACAAAAAACGAATGTAAGCAAAGTAGTTAGTCTATCCAGAGTAGTACAAAAATAAGTTGTACAGGAAGTATCTGCCTTAAAACACAATCAAACGACGAACATTCAGAAAAAAATATAGAATAAAATCAATATACTATATTATAATTTTATTATAACTCAAGAAGCGTACCCCACTCAATGTGAGAGCCATTGAAGTGGCATTCAGATGAAAAGTCTTTATAGTTTAATGCAACTTAAAACCAGTATTGAAAAGGTCTATTGAGTATTGACTAAACAAATAAACCCTTTCAACTAAACAAGGAATGCCGGACTCGCACGGACATGTCGCGACGTGTACGATAATGCAAGCTACTAAAGTACACGTATTCGGTATTTTCTTCTTGCAATAACAAGTTTACTCATGTTTACCCCTAACGGGTCAAAAGAGGTCAAAATCGAAACTTGTATCTGATGTATCTATGCTGTTTAAAGTTATAAAAATAAGTTTGAACGAGATACATTAACATTTGCAGTATCATGGGAGTCATTAAGAACAAAGAAAAATTGAGAAAAAATGGGTGCGTGTAACCCTTACGCGCGGTTGAATTAAAACTTCTTTGGCAAATATCGCAACGAGATTAAAACAAACCAATAATTAAATAGGACATATTAGGCATTTTACAAACATATATTTATAGAATATCATATACGGAAAGAATATAATTATTATATACATGTACATGTCAGACATAGCAACGGTTACCATGGCAACGTATTTTATCTCATTTTATCGCCGGCCTAATCCTATATACTTCTAAAGAAGTCTCACCATAGAAATATAGATTCCAAAAAAGTGTACTATGGATTTAACGAAAATTTTCTAAGGAAAAAAATTAATTAAATATCTGTATCAGTTTAATTGGTTTGTAGTGCATGTTCACCGATCGACTCACCCTCGCTTCACTTCGGGTTCATCCCTAGACAAAAACGAATCTATCCCACGGGAACCGTACATTATTCCGAGATGATATATATAGTACCCTTTCTCAATAAATGGGCTATCTAATGCAAAAATAATTTGACAAATCGGATTAGTTGTTCCTGCGATTAGCGCATTCAAACAAACTCTTCCTCTTTATAATATTAGTATAGATCAGTTGGAAACAAAATGTTCTTTGAATGACTGTTTAAATAGTTTGTGTCATTTCTATGGACATTGAACTGCAACTACACTGTGTAATGATGACAAACGATAATACAAAGCACATGTCTGTACAAGTCGCACCATGTTTGTTCAGTTTGATAGAATTAGGACTCTTATTTGAATACTTGTTACTTTACTTGTTGATTGAAAGGAATGACTCAGTGATTTAAATGGTTGATAATAAAATAAGTACATACTTGTAGACAAGAATCTTATATGTAATATTAAATACTAGCGACTTACCCTCGCTTTGCTCGGGTTCGTCCCTAGGTTGATTCCCCATAAAAACTTTCATCCCCATTTTTACCCCCTTGATGGTTGATTTCCGGGATAAAAAGTATCCTAGGTCCTTCCCAGGGTCTCAAACTATCTTCTTACCAAATTTCATCTAAATCGGTTCAGTAGATCCAGAGATTACCCCCTACAATCTCATAAACTTTACCTCTTTACAATATTAGTATTAAATATTACAATACAAAACACACATACTGCCAAACTTTCTTATTAGAAAAATGTAGCTTTTGGACTTCTACAAAAAGGAAACTGAGCTGTATTTGTATATTAGCAATATTTGTACTGCAGCTAATTTTGCTAACTAAATATAAAATTTCAGTGATTGAGTCAGTCACAATATTCCAAATTTCTAAATTGTAAGAAAAATTAGTAAAAATTAATAATCCTTTATTTAAATAGGCTATGTATGTACATAAGGGAAGTGGTCAAAATTTAAATTTCAGGGCAAAATATCACTGAAGAACTAACACTTATTATATTTTTTTAAATAAGCAATAATCTAGGATTTGCATTGACAGTATATTTACAGTGACATTACAGCATAAAAATTATAATAATAATTTAGTTTTCAGTTTTCTTTAAAAACAAATCCTTAAAATGTGACATGTTATGTTCAAAAAATATAATAGCTAACTACAAAATATCAACAAAAGTGTACCTTGTAAAACCTGAGTACTGCTAGTTTGACCTTCTTCTTCTTGTGCTTGATCTTCTTGGGGGTGGAGTAATTCTTCTTCTTGCGTTTCTTAGCTCCACCGCGCAGTCTTAGCACAAGGTGAAGTGTAGATTCCTTCTGGATGTTGTAATCGGAAAGGGTCCTACCATCTTCAAGTTGCTTGCCGGCAAAGATCAATCTGTGATAGTTAAAAATTATATTTAAAATTATTTTTTTCAGGATCTCTTTGCTATTGATTACTATCTCTCTAAAACACAATGGCTTAATTTTCTATTTACATGCTGCATAGATCAACTCTAGCGAGTCTATTTACTCAGTGAATTTACATAATTTTTACTAAGAAGCTTGGAACTCACCTCTGCTGGTCTGGGGGAATTCCCTCCTTGTCTTGGATCTTAGCTTTGACATTTTCGATAGTGTCAGAAGGTTCGACCTCAAGAGTGATGGTCTTACCCGTTAGGGTTTTCACAAAAATCTGCATCTTGGCTCCTATTATAAATGAAAAACAGGTTATATTAGAACTGTCAAATAAACACTGATAATATAACTTATTGGAAAAACAATTCATAGAGAATCTTGATTAAAAAAAAACTACATTACTAGCTCTGTAAAGATAGTATCATCTCTGTTCCTAACTCGATTTTATGAGACAAGACATTTTGGTGGTATTTTTATATCATTATACATTATCATTACTAGGTTAGTGATCTGATACATTATTTACCAAATTTTAGAAGCCGAACAATATCCATTTCAAGTTTAAAAATGGTAATATTATGATAACTAACCTAAAAGACCACACATTATCCATTGACTATATCTTTGTAGTTGTGGAACAATATTAAAGAAATTATAATGAAAAAGCTAAACATGACATACTATAGGAAAGAGGTAAAAAATAAAACAGAGTATTTTAATCCAAGCTTTATTCTGGCTCGACTGCATCATACAGAGGTTACACCAATAAAATAGCATTGATAACTCCATCATTTTCAGGATTATTTGTCACTTGCGCATACTTTCCCCATACAACTTTACCAGCCTGCGTCACCAAACCCAGCTCGGAAATGTTAACTTCTATCACAGTACCCTTTGTAATAACCCCAAGACTCGTGTACATTTGGGAACTAGGATTCTTCTTTACACCGATGATGGGCAAACAGAATGTTGCTTTTAATTCAGGATGGGTGACATGTGCTTTTTTGAATCTCAATGCCATAGGCCTGATAAATCTTTCAAATTTTGGCGGTTTTCGTGTAAAGTTTTCACCTACAAATGTGACCTTTGTAACCATACGTTTCCAAGCTTTCCTCTTGGATTTACCAGACTTCAGAACTTTGAATACTTCTGCATCAGCTTGAGCTCTGACTTTAGGTATAGGTACATCCCATTTGCCAGCTTTTTCTTTACGTTTCTGTTTGATCATGTTAGACAACACTTTAGCACGTGATTGTACATCTCTGTCAAGAAGATATACAGGAACTGCACCTTCAGCAACTTTCTCTGTATTTTGGCGAACATTTTTCTCCTCGTGCGCTTTAATTTTCTTTTTCATCTGAATCTTTTCATTGCGCCTTTCTTTATTGAAGATCTTAGCTTTGATACCACGCAATTTACGCGCCTTTTCAGCTCTCTTGTGTGGTTCACGAGCCTCGCGCTTTCTTTTCCGCTCTTCATAGTCGAGCCTCCTACCGTAAAGCTTTTGATGACGTTCAATATATTCGTTCTGCGGCATTGTGGTTGCTTATACGGCAACTACAACAAAATTATCACCTTATCAATTGCAACGATGTTTGTATCAACGTGGTTATAAGTATAACCTCTTCAAAAATGCTTTCTCAATAAACAATATAATAACAAATATTTATGTGTGTTTGGAAAACTTCTTCACATTTGTAATAAATGTTAGCCTTAAAACTACACGTGCCGATTACATTAAAGGCACAAATCTTTTTTCAAATAAAGCGTGCCTATCCAACATTAAAAAACGTTATTATAATACCGTTAACGCACCTTAATATGTACACGAAAAAGAATTAGACAGATCTAAAAATATTACGCATTAAAATTGAAATAATTTCACATGATTAACAAACTCACCTTACGCCGACACCATGCCACAAGGAAAAGGAAGTTTGACATAGAGTATAGACAAGAACAGATAAATAATAATAAATGCTATTGTTCATAAATGATTTTAAGACGACAATTAATAAATACCATTTATTCCCATACAATTTTTAGTGTACATTTTGAGAAGATATAAACATGTGGATTCTAGATATTATCATAATAAAACAAAAAAAATTATGACCTTCAAGAGTTTTAATTTAATAGGTAAATATAAAAAATGTCACTTTCGCTGCCGATCATGGGCAGCATTATGTTAATGTTCTTTAAAAATAACTCTTTTCCGAACTAACATTATAAAGTCTGAATCAGTATCTATAATTAATTTATTACAGTATTCGATTCTGTCAACCAAAATATTTGTTGGATATCTGTTCAAGGACTTGAGGATACAACGCGGAACGCAAAAGAGATTTAAAAGTCTTCTTAAAAGTCTTCAAGATAATTAAAGTCTGTCTTTCTTAATTATCGTCTGGTAATCCAGCCGGGCGTGAAGCCTGAACATACTAGGAGTTCGCACACTTCAGTAAGACTAGGCGTTGTACGATGCGGATTGCTCTTGGTACTTCTTTGTTAACAGAGTGATCACAGAGGGATCGCCCTTGAGGTATAAGTACGAGATAGCATCGGTATATCCATTAAAAAAAAGAATTAGTGAAGATATTGCGTAATATACACAAAGAAAAACAGCATGCAGTTAGTAAAATTACGTTTTTATTAATATGTTGAAAATAAATAGATGAGAAGTAAAATATACTCGCACCAATTCAATGTAATAAGTATTCATAAACTAGCATAACTAATTAAAAAACTTTTAGCAGTTTTATTTGACAATAATATAAAAAAAGCATACATATTATATACTTTTAGCAGTTTTATTTGACAATAATATAAAAAAGCATATATATAGATTTCACAGTTGTTTAGTTTTTGAATCATTGCTGAGATGAAAAATGGTATAGGTGATGGCAACATTGGTTATAACAAATATCAAATATAAGTGCCGCCATTGGTCGTTATTGTTGGCATTCTCAATGCGCATATTTATAAAGACCAATAGCGCTTTCCGCTCAAACGGTCTACGACTCTACTCTAAACTCTTTCCATAGTGTATCATTAATGAAAAAACATGCGTAGCATTTATATATAGTTTGTGGAAACTTCAAGTTACAAGCTTGTAGTTTCGTGGACGTGACGTTTCACGTTTTATAGATTATAATTCTATGTAGATTGTAGGTTATATATCTACTGTCTCAAGTCCAAACTTGAAACTCGTTTTTAGAGAAGAATTTGCCTCGTTTTGTTTTCAAATTTCAAGCGGTATAAAACCATCGGTTGGTGTGATTTCAGTGCACATAATACGTATTATGAATACAACAGTAGCTACATATTCAGGTATGGAATTGTTTTGTATTTGATACGTTGCTATGTAATAACGGATTGTTAATACATTGAACGCTAACCTCTTCCTATAATATTATGTCAAGGAGAGTACTATATCAATTTACAATAGAAAGGAATGTCATTCAATTTTACTTATTTCCGTTCGTCTCATTGGTTTAACTAGAAATCTTTTGAGATAAAGCGCGCATAGGTTTCAATGGTGAAAGTAAATAGGTACTTGTATTTTTTTACTATGAATTTTTTTAATTCTGATTATGATTATAATTTTTGTCTAGTTTTAACGTTTTAGGCTAAAATTTTGATGTTTCTATTTTTAGTGCAGTGAGCACTTAGATTTTAGGTAGTGACTATTTGTACGGGTAGGTACTGGACGTATTAATAGACTCAGCCTAGATTTTAATCTAGTATTGTGGTACTATAAAAAGTTAGAAATAGTTAAATACTTGTATTCTTTTTAATCCTATTTTAGTGTTACAGTTCAAAATTTAAAATCGCTGTGTTTTGGTGTCTTTTGTAAGACATAGTAAACAAACAATGAATTCTAAAAACTTCTTTTGCATTATTCGTTTTTATTATTGAAGTGATTTCTAGATTTATATATTTTATGCTCAGAATTCAGAAAAAATAGTTTCTTCTGTATTCTGAGATTTGGAGTTACGATTTTACTTTTTTTTGTTTATTATCACCTATCGGATTATAACTGAGTGACATTATTTTTTACCAAACTTTTTGATTAGTATAAATACATCATATTGATGTTAGTGATATTTTAATGTGTAGGTAAGTTACAAACTAACTGAGGAGATATGAGAAAGTGGACTTTGATTATATTATGCATGGAAATGTATTTTGTTTCTGTTAATTCATAATTACAAAGGACCCTTTACTCACATTTTTCTTTACTTTTGCTATCTTAATATTTATTATTATATTGTGCCAGATGTGGATACTGTTACCAATTGAAATTGTTTACAATACAGCTGGTCCTTCTAATAGAGATAATTTTCCAATGTTAAATGTAGTAGCTTAATGAGGTAGGTTGTAATGAGCAGTGTCGTTAAAATGATTTAATTTTTTATAAGGTGTTCATATAGCATTCAGCCGGGACCTATAATTTTGGTTAATATAAGCAGTATGCTGTTAACTGTATAATATTTTTCTATTCACATTATATATACAATTTTAAGAATTGATGTCAGATGAAATTTTAAAATTTCAGAACATGTACAGAGCCGAAGAAGTTCCATAGAAACTATCTACAGCATTCAAGGCATTGAAACTGGTATGACTCTTTATTTTTCTTTTGTCTTTTCATGATATTTTGATTTTCTTTGTATTTTATTTCATATTATTATATATTTAGATTAATTACTATGTATTTAATTATGTGTAAATGTTGCATGTAAATGTTTTTGTTTGTTGCACATATTATTTATTATCTGTATTTGTTTATTGTTACTATTTAAAATTAAGATATGGGTCAGTTTTGGTTTGTGTTTTTAATTGCAAATATAACAGGGAATATGCGTGTTTTTTTTATACTGTAGCTTACATTGAAAGATAATTGTAAAAAAATATCCAACTCCAAAAAAACTAAAATTTAGTATCAAAAATATATTATATCGATTTGGATACTTTAAAGGCCCGCGATTTTGCGCGTTTGACGTGACGTCACAGTATGAAAAACGTCTTATACGGTCTGACTAATGGCATGCTTTTCACCTAATTTGAATTTTCCACCTATATTTGCCCTTTTTCATAATAATTTTCTTAGTCAAAAAGAAATAACATTAAAAAACATTGATGTAGGCATAATTCATAAGCAATAACGATTATAAAAAAAATATTTCACATGCATAATATTCCCTATTATAATAGTTTAGACCATCAGTAAAATGTAATGGTTAACATCTCTTGTAATTAAGTATATATTAATATAGTGAAGCAGAAATAACAAAAATCAAATTGGATTATTTTAAAATATTTTGTATTAAAATATCTTGTGTTCAGCCATTTTAATGCAGATGGTATTAGGTATTTAGTTTGATATTTTCTTGTTTTAATATTTTGAAAAGGCTATTAGCATTATTAACCAACAAATAGGCTGATTTATTGATGATGGATCTGAAAACTGGATGGCATAGAGCTTATTTTTATGAAATTCAGATTAAATGTAAAAAAAATAATATTGTTTTTAAATTTATTTTTTGGTAGCAAAAAATGTTTTCTATTACACAACTTCAAACAAACATTTTAAAGATAGGATGTATATTATAACATAGAGGTTTTTTTTAAATTGATGCATATTTAATAAAACACATATTTTTCAACCGACTTCTTCAAAAAGGAGGAGGTTCTCAATTTGGCTGTATTTTTTTTTTGTGTTAGTTCAGTAGTTCAGTTAAAAAAAATTGCCTGAAAATCATAATATAATTTTAAGAGATACATTCTATTTCTGCACAAAGGTATCCATTAGAGATAGATACATTTTCTATATTAATCTGCCTCTCTAAAGCTCCAAGCACCAAAAAAAAAATATAGTTTTGTCCCTTTATTTGTCCCAGAATAATGACGAAAAAGTAGTAATTATGTGATTTTCGATTGTTACTCTCTGTACCGCGAAGTAAAAATGACCTTAAAATCGATTATTCTGTTCTATCTTTTTTCTTACTATCTTACTAATATTATAAATGTGAAAGTTTAGATGAATGTTTGAATGTTTGTTACTCAATCACACTAGAACGGCTGAACGGATCTGGATGTTTGGCACGGAGATAGATTATAATCTGGAATAGCACATAGGCTACTTTTTATCCTGGAAAAATTGTATGGTTCCCGTGGGATAATTTCTTATATAGCGTAAACACGCCTTTCGTTTTTGGAGTAATCTAAATATTTTTACCTCAATCGTGTTAAAATTCGAATTAGCTTTTCTAGAGACTAGCGGTAGTTAAAAAAGTTTTTACGAATTTACATGCCGCGCCGGTATTTGCATGCACCATGGACTTAAGTTTTGAGCTACTAATTCAATGGTGTTCAGAATTTAGATTTCAGATAACGAATCTATGTATTATGTTTCCTATTTAACGTGAAATGGAAAATAAAAAAAAATTACCTGCGTCAGTGGAGATCGATATATCAATAGGTATTGCTTGCAGTGCAATTGTATATAGATTATTAATAATTAATTAATTACTATAAAAACAATAAGTAAGTATAATCTAACATTTATGGTCGATTTTTAAATTTGAATATAATATCGACATTACTCGTATTATGGCTGTATACCTGTACCACCTAATGATTTAATTACCCTGACTCATGTTTCAACAAACGTGATGGTTTTCAAAATTTGTACGCATTTTGCACACAAGTTCTAACTTGTCTACATGCCGTTTGTGTCATCAAGTGAGTCAACGAACTTCAAAGTTTTATCGTGTTGTAACATGCACCAGACGCTTCACAACCGCATCTAATCGGCGTTGCAGGCCGGCACTTAATTGTTTTATTGAACTTCAATTTAATACTAAAGTGTTAAATTTCCATTTTCTTAAATGTCGTTACATTTCAATAATTTTTTTCAATAGTTAGATATTATGTTGCGTTTAATGCGTTTTTAGTCCGTTTAGTAGTGTTTGTCTAAATATTAATTATTGTAGTCATATAATGAAATTATTAAGTAACTAGCGACTCACCCTCGCTCCGCTCGGGTTCGTCCCTGGGGTGGGGTCTGGTAGGACCACCCTTATCCTTATCACTTAGGGGTACGGAAAATAGATAGTAGCCGATTCTCAGACCTACTTAATACGCATATAAAATTTGGTAAAAATCGGTAAAGCCGTTTCGGAGGAGTACGGTAACTAACATTGTGACATGGAAATTTTATATATTAGAATAGCATGACGTGTAAGTTACATATTATGTAATCCAATGGATAACATGACATTACTTGCTGTGACAAAATATTGCCATTATGTCTTGCTCATTTAGTAACATTTCTCAGAAGGGACTTCTTGGATATATTATTGTAGAACCTTTAAGTTTTGTAAAATCAAAAATGTGTAAAGAAAAAAAAACAAAAGTAATGTTTTGAATTATTTAAAGCACCAAATTAATTGGTTAAGAATATAAAGTTTTAGGGTCAAATGTCCCCTTTAAGACATGAAGATGAAAGACAATTATAGATTTTTTTTGTAATTAAATTATATTGATTGGTAATGAAATTATTATAGTAGTTTTTTTTTAGAAAAGGCCTTTATGTATATGTATTAATAAGTATTATAATTAATTAAATTAAATATTATATTAGGTAGTAAGTAGTAGTCCACTTAGTGAATTGTAAATCCACATTTAATGTATAATATATTTCTATTGCACGGTGTTGATATGTAAGTACTAATTTTGAGTGTAATATTTCACTTATATATTCATATATATATGCATGTCATTTAAAAAAAAGGAATGATGATGATGAAAAATTGTAGTTAACTGGACATCATTTTCAACAGATTATATTATAAACTTTTGAACAAATATGGCAAAAAAGTTAGCTTTAAATGTCTTAATTTTTTTTTGTTTGTCTATTATGAGTATTATCATCTTTTGGACTTTTTTAAAATTTTGTTTGTTTGTCTTCTTATATTTCTTCCAAAATTGTAAGCATTACACTTATATTGAGTACCGTGAAAATCCATAACAAATATGTATAAAAAAATATCTATATATCTCAATCTATCTGATTGTAACTTTTTTATAGATATGACATTAATTTTTTGATATCTTCAATTGATATCTCACAAGGATTTTCGGTAAATATTCGGAGTCTTTATAATGGAAGTGGAGTATGGCCATTTTTTTATTATTAACATGTTTTGTTGGTTTTGTTGGCATTGTCAGATTTGTGTGTTGGATGGTCTGCCCGTTGGAGACACCAGGGTTGAAGGTTATGAATCGGACCTGAAGAATTTGGAATGATAAACTAGAATTTACACATTACGCTTCATTATTATTGCTAAAATGTATTGAATTTTCCCAAAAATCTAATATTTTTTTAATTAATCACTAATTTATCTTTTGATCTAATTTTTTTAAATAAAATCGGGAAAATTTAATGCTGTCACAAATCAGCTTGTCATTAATTACTTACCTTAAAAGTTCATTTCGATCATCTTTACAAATATAATATATTTTTTTTATTTTACAGTTTAATTTTTATTTGTTAAAGTAATTATAGTAATTAGTTTAGTTCATTAGCTTAGTTCAATTGTAATCAAGTTGTTTTACGTACGTTTTGGTGATTTTGTTTCGTGAAGTGTGTATTTTAATGACTTACTAAGCATGTAAACAATATAAAGATTATTATTTTAATTGGACTTAAAAAAAATATTATGAAACAAGTTAACAAAAACAGCAAAAAAAATTGAAAGAAAAAAAATTATACACTGGATATATAAACAAAAAAATTACTGAATGATAAACACTTAAAAATTTATAAAAAAAATACTTAAAAAACATACATTTAAATAAACTTAAAAGAATTATATGCATTGCATTACACAAAAAAAAAATACAACTGTATCCGAAGTTCACGGAGCGCCAGGAAAGAAGCATAGACAATAGAAGCATCATCAATATGGCGGCAAATTTGACTGTTGACATGTTGTTGAAAGTTTCGGTGTTTGTAGATTTTGTGCGCGACACGTCTGACACAGAGTGGTACAGCGGACAGGAGGAGGACGTGGAGTATGAGCCGGATACGGCAGACGAGAGTGAGAATAAGGCACCGGTCAGTGAGAACTCGTCAGGAGACGTAAGTTACTTGTCGAATCGTATTTTCCATTAATATTATAAACGAATTCGATGAATGTTTGTTACTCAATTACGATAGAACGATTTAACAGATCTGGATGAAAGGCACACTAGCACATAGGTTACTTTTTATTCCGGAAAAATTTACGGTTCCCGTAGGATAGTTTTGTTTTTCGCAAGGAGTACACCCGAGCGAAACGAGGTTAAGTTCCTTGTCTATAGATAAATCGCTTAGAGCTGCCTCTATGTGCCCTGCTCTGCTTAATATGCCTCGTGCGACAATTATCGTACGTTGATATTTCTTATTTGGATGTTACCTAAATCTTCATATAAAGATGAAAAACAACGGAAGTCAACTTTTAACTTATTCTCATGGACGGAGTCAAATCATGTAAGATTAACAAACATTCGTTATTTACATATAGTTGTTTTTTTTAAGCGAATGGGCAATAAAATATAATAGGGAATCGTGATTCGTAAAAACTTTTACAACAGATTTTGATTAACATTACTAATACTTGGGGGTATTTCACAATTTTGAAGAGTTAGATATCGAACGCCTTGTTTTTGAAAAAGTAAATTAATCTTGTGTTGTTTTCCAAGCCGATGGCATCCCTTAAGACAGCTTTAGATGTAACTTCATGCTCTATGAGCAGGTACCTATATAATCCTATAATCTTATTCACAGGAGATAATCGAGACGAAAGTAATAGAAGTGCTCGTAGCCGACGATGGGGAGTTGCTCATGGCGGATTCGGAACACACGGTGTCGAGCAGCGACAGTGAGCTGGACCTGCATGACTACTGGAACTGCGCGCACTGCGGCGCGCCCAACAACAACCCGCGGTATAGACTCTGCGAGAAGTGCTTTAAGGTAATGTTTTTTTTTTAAGTTATTTTTAATGGACTATGGATATAATATTTGATTATATTTATTAAATTTAAAATTAACAAATATTTAAGGTGTATTAATGCCATTTTTGAATTTTTGAAATCGTTATATAATTTTGTGGGTAGGTACTGTTTGTAACTACTACATAATGTGAGGTTATGCATGCCACATATGGCTGCTGCTTGTGGAGAATACTCGCATGCTGTATATCGACCAGATATCAATGAAACACTTTTATTATTCGTTATCTCGCATTCGGGGACTCTTCGCATGCGGTATAACGATGAAGTTAACGACCAATATGAATGAGCCTTTATTCTTTAGTCTCTCCCATGACGATGATTGCTACAAAGCATTCAAAACTTCGGAAATCGAAAATCTAATTAAATCCGCGAAAAAATCAGAGAAGATGTTTAATTCGATTTTTTTTCATCCAATGGAGTTAGGTTTTAACGGTTGAAATAATTTCTTTTCAGTTTATTTTATAATAAAAACGCGTCGTTATTGTAAATAATTCACAATTTCACTGCCTCGTTGTTCTAATGGCTAGCAAGTACTGCTGCAGATCTGTAAGTCCTGGGTTCGATATCTGGATTTTTCTGTTAAGAAATTTTCAATAGAAGCCCGGAGTTGAAAATTCTTCGGTGTTTTATCCCCGTGCCTCGGAGAGCACGTAAAGCCGTTTCTTGGTAAAGTATCGTCCCACTGAGAATATTATTGTCAGGAATAGAGAGTGCCCTTTGTCTTAGCGCGCACACTTGTACACTAAATATCTCCTGCGCTGTCGGCTAGTCTCAGTGAGATTGGCCGCCGTGGCCGAAGTCGGTCGGGAGTATGCTATTATTTTTAAATTACGTGTTTTCAATCGACTAAGGAGACGTTTCATTCGATTTTATTGTTTTTTTTTCTTCCAATACAATCCACTCGAACATAGAACAATTGTTAGTGTTTTAGTTTAATTCATAATTAAAATTTTATTATATAAATTATTTCGATTATTGAAATTTTAACATATGAAACATATTGAAATTTTAACATATTTATAATATACATCACTTCGATGTCGCAATGAAGAATGGGTGCAGCATGTTATACTAATACATAATATTTATATTTGCATCAAACATTTACAGGTACGTAAAAACTTCTTCCCGCCGAGACCGAAGCGAAAACACAAAATTAAATCGAAAAGCGAACCGGAATCCCTTCCGCGTACATTCTCACAGGATTCGGGCGTGGAGTCACAAGCACAATGCTCCCAAGACTCACAATTGTCCCAAAATTCCCAAACTTCACAAAATTCACAAAATGGCGGTGTAAAACGTTCGGCTGAGTCGCCAGACATACAAAGAAAAAAATTCAAAAGCGACTTAGATAGTTTGGCATCGGATTTCGAGGAAGACGCGAATTCTGACAGACTTAGTACGAAAAGTCCGGAAGTTAGGCCCTTAGTTAAAATGGTTAGTGATCCTGCACTTACTGTTGAAAATGTTGCGTCGGCGAATAGGAACGTAAGTAGTTTGAATGAAAAAGATTCGAAAATGTGTATAGCTTGTGATTCAGAACCTAAATCGGGTGTGTTTGTTCACGGTCGTATAGCTCATATGTGCTGTTGTTATAAATGCGCAATGAAAGTTTGGGCAAGTACTAAAAGGTGTCCACTTTGCAATCGGAAAGTAAGTAATGTGTTGAAAGTGATTATGTAATTATTCGTCGGTTTTTTGTAGGTAGGTATCGTCCGTCGTTACGCGAGTTTCGTCGTACGTTTGATTATGCCGGATTTTAGAGAATTCTTTTTGTTTGTGAGTCACCATTGAAATGTATTGAATGCGTTGATAATTTTTTTTTTGTTTTTTTTTTCAAATGTATAAACCGGGAATCGAACAAGTGACCAGATTAGTTCTAAATATTATTATTTGTATATATGAAAGTTTAGTGTTTATATAAACAAATGAGCTGTAGTCAGTAGACTTGCAACGAATAGAATAGTCTGCCATACGCCGAATACCGAATATTCTTCGGATTTATGGCCGAATAGCCGAATATAAGCCAAAAGTATTCGGTCAGCGCGTGGCAGCAAAATTATGTATCTACACATGTTAGTTTCTTGTTTGGCGCCAGGAAGTAGTATTTATTCAGAGCGTCTTTTCCCTGAATCTGGTACTGTCTAGGAGTAAACTACTGCCTGAATATGCAAAAAAATAGTATTTTCAAGCGATTTCCAAAAAGGAGGAGGATCTCAATTCGTCGGAATCTTTTTTTTTCTTTTTTTATGTATGTTAACCGATTACTCGAAGATGCCTGAACCGATTTGGTTTTATTTGTTTTAAAGTCAGGCTATTATACTTCCTAGGTTCCATTCAATTATTTTTTAAGTTTTCCACTTCTAAATTTCATAGATATTTATTTCATAGACATTTATTTGATAGTTTTTTTGTACCTGTAACTACTTTAATGATTATAAGAAAAAAATATTATTATAAAATGAGTCATTATTTTTGTTTAACATATTACTTAAGTATTCGGTAGTTGGCCGAATAGTATCTAAATATTCGGTATCCGGCCGAATAGGATAAAAGTAGCAGCCAATAGGCCTCATACCTAATAGTATCCGAATATTCGTTGCAAGTCTAATGAGCTGTCAATAAAAATGTTATGAAAAATAAAATAATTTACCAAAAAATTAATTAAAATCCGTCCATAACTTCACACTTGATATGCGCACAAATATTTTTTTCGTTTGTTTTGTTAGTTATTTTATTTATTGAAGCTGAAAACACTTTAAAAATGGTGACTCAAATATATGTATTACAAAATTTATACAATAAATGAAGCACATAGTCCAAAAGTGGTCTAAATCGATAATTTTAAATGATTTCAAAAATATGAACAAAATGAATTATAATCGCTAATAGTTAGAACTTATATTATGCCTATTCTTCATAATGATGATTTTAGAGTTAGGTCACTTTTGCACTGTTAGCCTCATATAATAGAAATTATTATTACTTAAAAGAACCGTAAAAAGTAGTGCCGATGTGTCTGATGTATTATTGACCATTAGACCTTGGGTCGCGAGTTCGAATCCCGCGCGAAGTTACAATATTGATTAAATTGTTAATATTAGTTCTTGTAGCTAGAAATACAGAGAAAAACGGAGAAATCAGAATTATTCGCGTATATTACAACGATTCTGTGATAAAATATATGTTATAAGAGATAAAACGTTGTTAGTACTAATAAGTAAGCAAGGGATGCGCCCACCACCGAAGAAAGTTTAATATATTTGATTTTTATATACTTAGGTTAGGCTCTTCCTATATTTTTAGTGGACAGTTGGCATAAACTTGTTAGCGATATTAGAATTTTCCATACATGCACAGTTTAGAGTCAAAATAGTTATAAAATCAATATTTATCTGTCCTTTTAGCTATTAAGAACGTGACGATCATTTAAAACTAACGACAAACCCTTGCTTCGTCGCACAATAGCTGATAAAGTCAACGCCCATTTTTTTTCTGACTTCAGTATGATCTCTGACAGTAAATACGTTTTTATGGGAATATAAACTGGCTTTTGGTACTCGACGGTAATGTTAGTGATTACTAGTTTCATAGATTATACATTACATTCAAACTTACTTTACCTCTTTATAATATTAGTCTATCGTTAAGGGAGTCGATTCTTAACAAAATATGCAATATATATATATATATATATATATATATATATATAGCATACAGTTTAAAATTATAGATATACTGGGGCATATTAAAAAAAATAAGAGGATGATGGCATTACTAATCGACATAATTTTTCAAATATGATAAGTTTTTTAATAATTAACTGCACAGTGCAGATGTTAGGCACATTCTGTTTTTTTTTTATTGTAAGTTTGCATTTTTTCTGTAATAAATTAATAGTCTATGTCAATTTTCCATTTAAAAAACCTCGTATTCTTATTCTGCCGCTCTAAAGTACTTATACTAACTACTAATGTTTGTTTTGTATAAGCATAGTTTAGAGCGTCAAAGTTACAATACGAGTGATCTAGATAATTTAATTTAATAATATTAGGGGCTACTTGCACTTGATTAAAATTTCAAACGGAGTTTTGACGATTAAAAAACGTCGGTAAATAGTTAAATTGAAGTCACTTTTCTTTTTAAATTACAATGATATAAATAAATAATATATTCATTTCAATTTTTTTTTATCATTTGTATACCATAATTATTTTATTTAGTGACAAATAAGAGTATATGTTATTATAAATATATAATAAGAAAAGTGGCAGAATTTGTACTTCGAAATTCAAAACTCAATCAAAATACGTTAAGAGTTTTGAAGTATTTTATAAACGTCATTCAAATGACATTAATCTGACAGTCATTTGTCAGTGACATAAAAAATCCCTTTTCCCACAGATAATATGTCAGAGTAGGCAAATCAAATGAATGCTTAAAAGTAGAAAGATACGAAAAGATACTGTTTACATTATTAGCGTATTTTCATATCTAATATTAATGGGTGTTACTTTATTTTGGTTTAGGGAAACAAAATTAAACGTTAATTAAATAAATCAATGCCGTTATATATATATATATATATATATATATATATATATATATGTATGTATATGTATATATGTACTAAAATGATTATTTTACTGTATGTAATTAATTAAAAAATAAATTTAAATCTAAGCTACGTCCTGTCGACATTTATTTAAACTCGCCGCTTTTGTAATAGAATAAAATAGACGTGTAAAAAACTAAATAAAACTTTCTAGAAATTTTGAATTAGGGATGCATCGATACGTATTTCTGCGCTTCGATACGATATAGATATTTATAAAAAAATATCGCCGATACCCATGCGCACAGTGTAGTCTTTAAGCGGTATAAAAAGTAAAAAATCTGTGGGCTTAGGATAGAAAACACAGAAATAAACGGTATTACTTATGTAATATTTGTTTAGAATGTTAACAAGCGAAATAGCGAAATTTGGAAATTGTAATTATACAAAATAAAAATTTAATAATAAAGTTCATATTAGAAATTAATGTTTAAAATTCAAATTATGTGATTTTTATACAGAAAACGAAAAATTATTAAAAATTTATCGGTGTCAAACTAGTATCGCATATATCGATATAACGGAAAACCGACGATATCGGATGCATTCCTATTTTGAATATTTAATAAAAATATACATAAGTAAAGATAATAAAAGATGGATAAAGTACAAAGTGACGTCTAAATATATTTTAAAACAACGTCACTGGCAGTTTTTCTTTTGATTTGTCTACTCTTATTACATTTAATGCCTAAATGCGTGCAATTATAATATGGTCAATACAGTATGAAGGACTTCGTTTAAGTTACAGACACCCCCTCATCCACATATCGGTTGGGCTCGAAATATATTATGTAATTTTTATAGCCAAAGTTAATTAACTTCTTTGTGTCAAAAAATATTTTAAATGTTCTGTTGAAAGTATTTTCTAAATTAAATAATTTTTGGTTTTTTGTTTGATTCTATTAACATCTGTTTTCATATTAAAAATTGGACAAATACTGGCTTTAATTGTTGTAATATATTGTAATCTATGAAAAAAAGAAAAAATAAAGATAATTTATTAAAAATAAAAAGACTAAAGAGAAAAAAAAGAAATTAATAAATATTTTTTCTTTCAGGAATTTGCAATTTTATTTCTATCATTCACCTTTACCTTTTAAGATTATTTTATTTAAAGGGTATGTACCTACCTAATGCTTTTTACACATTATTTATACTGTCACTTGTCAGAATCTAATTTTAGTCAGTTTAAATTTAGCGTCCATTTTCTATAATTTCTCATCAACTTTATTGTTTCCTTTTTGTAAATACCTATTTCAAATATAATTGTAAAACTTTGTTTTTAATTATTCTCGTTAACTGTTAAAACTCAGCAAAGAATGTATTATTTTATAATATTATAGTAGTTAAATTAGATTGTTAAGAGTATGAACAAATCATGATAATATAATATATAAAATATAATACACATACCTTTATTATATATAAAATTGTTGTAAATAAATATGTTTATTCCTTTCAAAACATAGTGTTAGTGACTGAGCTGATACGACAACATTGTAAATTCATTTTTTTAACCCAGCATTACATTTTTTTACTGAGCGTAGATTTTATGACTTGCCAAAAATTATAAAGTTAAGGTATATTAAATTATTTTGTTTCTTAAAGAAGTGAGAATTTCAAAGAGGACGTATCAATAAAAAACTAAACCAAATTGTTAAGTAGGTACTTTTATAGCCATCATGAATGCAAGTTTTGGAAATGCCGCCACTATAGGTAACTTTCATCAGGGTTCCATAGATAAAGGGCTAAAATTAAATTCTTATAATTTATCCGTCCGTCCAAATGTCACAGTAATATTACTCGGAGGCTATTGGAGTTACATTGCAAGGAATATCAATTGCTCGACAATTCTGTCAAATTACGACAAAAAATAATATGTTGGGACATTAACACACAGCACCATCTAGTTCCATGGTAAGCTACGAGGCTTGTGTTATGGATACCAGATAGTTGATACACTACACATATATAACTTTATATACACACATAATAAAAATATAAACACTCATTACTGGGATATAAACATTCGTGCTCATCACACAAATGAGTGCCTAGCAGG